CCCCCCTCCCCCCGTGTACCCCTCAGGAGTAAAGGATCTAAGCATCATAATAAATGAGCAAGCCACGTGCGACTCAATTTGGAAATATTTCAAAATGTACACGAGCAAATTGTACCGGAAGTCGTGTGACGTAAATTTATTATTTTTTTTTCTTTTTATTAATTTGAATTTTCTTCGCCATCAACATGCAAGTTGCATCTGCCTATGGTGTTTGCGTCCGTTAGCTCAAAGCCGCCACTGGCGAATAATCGTGGAGAGGAAGAGGCGTATTACGAAACCCAGTAGGGGGACCCGTGCGACGTATTAAAGTGAACAACTTTGCGTTATTCTCATGAAACTTTATCCGGCGTCGGTGGAATCTTAGGACGGCGCGACTGAAACTACAGCGCCGCAAGTGCGACCGCAATCGTTGGGGGTCACAAGAGTATCCTTGGCGTACGAAGTGCCGGGCATAAAGCACCGGGTGATACGATAGCGGTGTAGCCAGTAGGTATAGGCCAGAGAGGAAGGCCTATTTTGGATGCGGTACTAGGAATAAAGTTCTAGGAAGGTTTGTCTGGGCAGCGCTATACGTATACAGGGTGATCCATTTTTAACTAGTATAAATTATACAAGCTGTCAGTGAAACGTTAATTTTCTCATATATTAGACGCGAGAGTAAAAGGATTTTTTTGAGGTTAATAATTTTTTTTTTTTTTGAATTTACTGTAACAAACTTCCATGTACGACTGAATCGACCTGTAGAAAATTTGTCTCGGAGATGAATTTTTTCGGTCCCATGGGACAGGTAACGACAATGGTGAAGAGACCGTATTATCTAAGTACGTAGAAGTAACGAGGGTTTGTTATGGTAATAGCTAATTCGTACAAAAGTAGTCTCGTAAAATGGTCCAGAAGAGGAGAGAGTCGGAGAGCGAGCATAGAGACGAAGGCTTGAGGCGCGAGAGTATGAATAAGAAAAAAAAAATGTAAAATTTGAAAGGTTGGACGGGAAAAAAAAAGGGAAAAATTTATTCAGTTGCTTTGACAATGGGGTTAGTAAAAATTCACCCTGTCGCTACGGAAGAACTTTTGATTGGGGGTTTGAGAGGATGGGTCAAAGGTCAGGCGTTTTGTTGGCTATAGGTTTTTTCACTCTAGAAAGTCTCGCTTACACCTGGCAATTCCACCTACAGTTAGTCGCCGTGTGTCTAAAAGCTGCCAGCTCATTACTCACTGTGGGGTCGTTCCGGTTGCCTGAATTTGTATCGCGTTATGTGAATCGATAACTGAATTTTTTTTATACATATTTTTTTTTTTAATTAATCATTCCGACTATCCAGCCACTTATTGACTTCCCTCTAAATATCGAAACCCTGTGAAATCCATCTTCCGTTCGATTTTATAAAAATTCGGCGGTACTTGAGCATCGATGCCCTTTATCGTGATCGAAACTCCAAATAAGGTTAAGGCCTTGTTTTATCGATAAGTGCATGCTGAGTCAGGAACGCGTAGCACCTGGCAAGATGAAAATTAGTGTAACACCCTATATACAGAGTAACAGCAAAGCTCATAACCCAGATTGAATCGGATTGAGATAGCGAGAGGTATGTTCAGTCTAGAAGAGCAACTTCAGTTCTACGAATAAGATTCTCATTAAGCATTAATGAAATCTAAAGTCATTGAAATATATGAGGAGTATAGATTTAGTTCAATTAATTTAGTCCAGTAAGTTCTAGTGGTTCTCCATGCTCCTCCGCTGATATTTGACTATTGCGGGTATCGATTAATCGACAATTCATCGCCATATGCAATTTAGCTGATAAATCGTATCGATGTGGATTCTGGGGGGTCGAAGAGGACCCTCAATGTTGATAGGGTCATTACGTGCAGCAATTGCCTTACGGGGAAATGCGATAATGAATGATCCATTGAATTGCTGTGAGTCAGGTTCAAACTGTAGGATCGGAAAGCAAAGTGGATGGTTGCTCTATTTATCCCTATGCGAATGAAGTACTTTGTTTAGCTACCGGCATCGCCACTGCGCCCACTCAATGGGATCCTTTGTTCGTGGAAACTGAATACCTTGCTTCGTTTTTCTTTATTTTTCTGCACCCGTGCATACAACAAAAGTCGACTGTGATCTGTCATCGTGGCGTAACCGTCATTCGGATTATTGCTCTGGTGTAAGACGGTCTTCCTGTGCGCATTCCTGTACTTTGATTCGATGATTTACTTATGATTTATGGTCGGGATGTGATGAGATTTTTATTTACTGTGTGAATTAGGTCTGTCACTGTTGAATCTGGTAATTGGGTTGAAACGTTGAAGGATTAGGTGGTCGTTGGTGCGATCGTGCGAAACGGGGAGAAATTGATTTAATTTAATAAATATATATATTGTACCTTGGACTAGACGTATTGGACACAATAGCCGTTGGAATGTCGTTAAACATTCAAGTAGAATTAAGATTGTAAATGTAGGAAATGGTGTTCCAGTTCAATTTGCATTGAGTTGATAATTTTAATTTAACTGAAAGTATAGAGTTTATTGAGAAACATGAAAATTTGAGTTATTGGAGTAAATTTGAAAATTTTGGAGATTCATTTTACTTTTTTAATTTTACTATTTATATCAATATGCTACGTGTGAAAATATTGGCTTTACCTTAATTGGAAGAAGTGACAGCTTGCGGCATTCCTTTTCTTGCCTATTATTGAATTTATAGTGTACGATGATATTCTTGCTTACACTGATAACACTTAGCGATGGTTCACAGCTCGGGGTGAGCTTCTCTCAACTTATTACGATATTGTCACATTTTCACGTAATGGATTACGGCCGTACCGGTCGTGAACTGTTTTCGGTTGCGTGGACGACACGCGTCTTACGCACTCGGCATCGCACTGTGAATGAATGATTGTAGGGAGCGAGTTCACGGTACGGCGCCGGCACCGGCCGGTTGTCATGTACACAAGCCACAGCAACCAATCCTGTCACAGGTGACAGGATGACGAAGTAACGGCGGGAAATGTTTAAAAAAACACTTACCCATAAAGCATCTCTGCCGGTAATTATCTGTAGTACCGACCGATGGTATTGTAAGAAGTGAAACGAGTATCGAACGAACGTGGAGTAGAATGAATACCAACAGAAAATATATACCAATTGATAACAGTTCTTATTCGTGATAGCTATCATATTATGATAGAGTATATAGAATTCCAAGTTTATCTCCTAACGCTTATTAATAACAGGTTCATCGTAGATGTAGTGTACCTTGATTTGCTTACTATATTATTTAGGACAGATGACGTGTCTCCCCATCATGTCAGAATAATTTATACCACATATAATTTTAGTATGCATATTAATATATAATTTAACCAAAAGAGTTTGTAGAATCTGATAACGGGGCAAGATTTCGGACACAGCATTATGCTTACGACATTTCGTACTTTCAATGTTACGCGCCGGTGCGTGGATTGGTTGGCGCATTGAAAATTGGCCAATCCACACGTTCGAGAAATCAAACGTAGAGCGGGAGTAAACACGCTGGTCCTCAGTGTAGACTGGCCCGTCAGTGCGGACAGGTGGACAGTGAGAGTTTGCTCGGTAATCGTAAACTCTCTGAGGTCGATAGATCTCCACGGTGATTAAATAAACTAAGGATCCCGTGATGCCACCCCGGTAAAGACAAACATTAATACCCTGTCCGTCTAAATCCCATGTCTACCTCCTAACCTGACTAAATAAGCCGTCGCGTGTTTTGTGTCAGTGTTTACGAATTCAGATAGTATTCTATTTTGAGAAACAGCAATCTACACCACTCTTGTCCATGAGCCTCATCGTCAGTGACATTTTTATTGCGTAAGTATTCCACATGTTCTCTTATTGTATAATTGTCTCAATGTCAAAACATAATTCTGTAATATCCACGTACACGACGGAAGTATTAATAAAATTTATACTGATCAAGTATACCTTGTATTTATTTCAAGAGACAAGTATTGCCTCTTGCAATCACAGAATGTTATACGAAATATATTATTATCAATTTTAGCAAGTACATATTTAGTTACACCCAGCACATACTCGTAACATAGGAAACAAAACTGACTAATCAGATCATTTAAGAAAAAACTCCAATAACCCATTTCTCTCCCAAACAATTAAACAGATATCCAAACATTTGTATCGTCGAGCCGTCAGATCAGACATGCAAATTCCGATGTGTTGAAGCAGTAGGCCTGTAAAGAACACGTGCTCAAAATATCCATAAATTTTCCCACGACTCACGCACGACTTCCGACCAGCTCGAGTTCCCAGCGTCGTAATAACGGTCTTTGCAATTCTCACCAAGTAGCTTGTTCCGTTAAATCCACTACCAGCACAAAACTATCAATCCATCAGTTATCCTCTTTACGTTCTAATTAACCCTTCTATAAGAATGATAAACGTTGAAATTGCATAGCTATTATAAATAATCAGATCATTCTGGATCAGATAAGAATGGAATAATACCTAAGTATACGTATATCTGTAACTTCTCAATGGCAAAGTTACAACACGTTCCAAAGTGCTATGGAAAATTGAAGGTAGGGAAGCTCCTCTCGGTGAAGTTACTGGCAATGGAAGTCGCTGACGTCAGGGACGGAGAGAGCGACGCTTAAGTAGGTTAGGTGTCTACTGCGTCGGCCACACGGGAACCGATTGGCCATTGGGTTTCAGGCACGAATAAAGATGGACGCTTCTCAGTAGAAAAAGTCAAACGACCGCTCAATGTCGGTTGGGAATTGGCCGCTTTGTTTACCTAGGTGCAGCCACATTCAGGTCAAAACGCCATGCGGCCCTTTCGGTTCTTAACGCTTTGGGTGACTGTTCCTCTTTTAACTTATCACGTATTTTTTACTTGTCAATAATTAACGTTCACGGTGGAAAACTTGAGCGTGTATGACGGCCTTTTCGTCATGTAGGTCACATTCCTAACGCCATGTCTCTGGGTCTTATCCTCGTGATGGTATTTGAAAATGGGTGACCTTGAACGTTATTATTATTGTTATTATACTTTTACCTTGCATGGATCCATCGAAGAAAGTTGATCTACACAATTTTGTGTATTCGTACCTGATTGTATGCTTTGTAAATACTCGTACCGTACAATGCTTAGAACAGAACGTCTGGGGTTTCGGATCGTTGTTGAATTTTTGTTGTTTATTTAGCTTAGTGTGTCATAGAAATGGCTACTGTTCTGTTGCAAAATTATAATTACGCAAGGTCTTTGATTACTTAATATTTGCTCATTTATTTAAATAGTTACTGATAAATGATATTGTCACATCCGTTCAGGGCTGGTGAGTGTAACATGAGTCATTCGTTCTTAGTCTCGATTATTCTTTTGCGAGTGTCTTTATCGTCATGAATTAATAATTTCTGAAGAAAAAGAAACATTTGTTGTATATACTTTTTTCTATTTACATTCTCATCTCGGCGCAGGAAGGTTAATGACTTTTGTCAGGATTATCAGGTGATATCAGGTGACTTTACGATAACAATGAACGAGGTATATGCTTCACGAGTAAAATCATTCTAGAACGTACTGAGGATAATTAAATATGATAAAACGTACGTATTATGGTTATTCGATATGCGCCCTAGTCTATTCAGGGTTTATGGTTGTGAATGGTCGGACGTCAGACCTTTGGATTTCTTAGTGAGCTTAGCAGTTTGGAGTTACGAAATATCTGGTTTACTTAATTCCTTTTTTTTTCTACAATTATTTTCTATGAAAAATAAGTTATGGACATTTCACTGGATGCCACTTCCTCGCCCAGAATATTTCATGGTTTAGCATACTTTTTTTGTCCATGACACTTCTTTGTTCAGGACATTTCCTCGTCCAGGACATTTCCTCATCCAGGACATTTTCTCGTCCAATATTTTTCCTCAAACTACTACAAGGGGTTTACATGCAACTTATCTCAACGATATTTTTTACTTCTTCCTCCATGTCCTGTAAATTATTGTTCACGCCCAATAGATATTTATTCAACATAACTGTGTTCATAAATGACAATCCTTATCCTTTTGAATCGAATACGTTGAACAAAGTATCCCACAAGTTTCCTTATACAATTTTTCTGCAATAACGAGAAACGTACGTCGTGTTCCTATCTTGGGTAATTCTTATGAAATCATTTCATTCATCAATCGCTTTGATCTTAGCGTGAAAATAATCTGATTAGACTGCAGAAGTTAAAAAAAAACTGAAGGTTATTCCTGTGCTACCTTGACGCATTTTAAATTGAAGTTCATCATGTAAAAAACGTTACGATAATGTATACAGTCGAGCGAGCGCTTGGTATTTGGGTTTATTGTCTTACGTTCTGCCATCTAGCGGAGAAGCTTGAAAATGTCAATCTAAATCCTTGAAATATTTCTGCTCTCCGGAAAATCTTGAAACTGATTATTATTTTAAACAAAACATTTGGCAATATGGTAATCAACAATGAGAATTTGTCTGTAATAATTTCAGGATATTTTGGCTATATTTAAGAAGCATTTCATGCCTTTTGTATCGCTTCTGAATATTTGGATAATTTTAATCTGCCGTCTGGAATGATTGACTGGACGCTTTGTGTTCGTTTGACCTAAGGAAATAATCCTGAGTGAAAGCTTGGCTATCTTCTCTCTAGTGCACATAAAATATTTTCTAAAACTTTCTGGTATATTCATCACTGTGTTCTATCAATGATCAATCCATGCGTACCATACTGTACAAACACTTTTTGAGCTTCGTTTTCGTAATACCGTCATTTGGAACCCGCAGTAATCTCGTTATACGCAATTGTATAATGATTATAGTTCCCACTCGCTGGTCTCACACAAGTGCGATAAGCATCCGCATGCGCATCGTGCGACATGCTCTGCCTATCATTATCAATTACGTTTCATCTAACCAACTGCAGGTTACTTAAGGCAAATGCAACTGGACTTTTGTATTTTAGTCGCTGTTGATCTGAAAAATGATTAAAAAAAATTGTTTTCCGAATAATTAATTTACGTAACATCAAGTGTTACTTAATAAGATTAGAACATTTCAGTATTATTATTTTGCAAAACAATTTTTAATCGGAATTTGAATATCGCACCTGAGTCAATAACCGATAACAATTCTGCCGATAACCTCCATTAGTAGGAATCCCGTTTATCGACTTTACTGTCAAAATCACAATTCATCGTTACGAATAGTCACTGTAAACTCTAATGACAGTGTTGTATTATTGCACTGCAGTACATTTTTCAACGACTGTACGTATTTGCCTACAGTACAGTCTGTACAGTAACGTAGAGTCGGCCATAGCGGAAACAAATTGTAGGAGATACGCTCGTTTGGCAATTTGAATAGAAGCGTTACTTGTGTTTTTCTTTACATTACGAAAACGCGATATACGTCATTTGTTTCGCAACGAGATTAAACGACGTTCGGACGTCCTGACGATAGCAAAAGACACGTACAGCCACAATTGAATAGCTTCGTCGAATTCATGTTTAGCCATAACCCCTAGCTTACGTCGTAATAGATTCCGGGATAAAAATTAGTCGAAACTACGTAAATCAAGTGCCTGTTGAAATCGAATGGGTGGGGAGAGTAAAAATGAGGGTACGTATCGAAACGTACTGCCAATATTGTGAGCACGATTGTCTCTCTTAATTGCATTCGGATAAATAGGGACGATATACGTACAGCACTCTCAGTTAATTTCCGAAACGTACCCTGAGACTAAGCCCACTTACGTTAGTAGGCACAACATCGGTCAACACAACGTACCGTCGAGGTATGACTATAGTCAGAAATATTATTTTCTTTTTAACGGTTAAATTGATCGAAGATTAAAATTGGCTAGTTTGAAATTTTCAATAAGAATTTCTATACGTTTTTTGGACTAATGAATTTTTTAATTGATAAAGTCTTCTAAGCACTCCGCGTGTAAGCTTTGGTGATTTCGCATTTCCGTAGTAAATACCGACACTCAAAATTATTTTCACTTGCGTATATAGATATATAAAGTTTCTCGTAGATGTCGCCCGTTGCTCTTTGTGCCAAGTGGATTGACGTACTGTCTAAACACAGGAACTGATACACATTCTAATTTATTCTTTACAAAGGCTGCACGTGTACGTGGTTGCAAATAATTTCCTTTTTTATTGTTACTGAGTTTGAAATGAAGATTCGACGTCTATTTGTTCTTGTATTTGTTATAGGGTTTTAGATTGTTCTTTGGTTAGGACTTTGTTAGTACCCAGGCTTCCTGCGTGAGATTTAAGGTTATTATATTGGTGCAAGTGTTTAATGAAGTTTTGAATGAATTAAATGAAATCTGATTAATTGAATAATGTATCTGGCGCAGCTGCGAATGTTGAAAGATTATAGGTGAGAAAATTATTCGGTTTTCTTTTGTAAAAATTGAAAACCCGTACTACGTGCTACAATGGCTTTATTAAGACGCTCGTTAGTCGCGCGACGCCAAGCGCAGAATCATTCTCTTCTTCCGGAGACCGAAAGTCAGTTGGTTGAAAAAGAAAACGAGAGAAACAATGCCTGGGTAATAATCGCGGTCGTAGTGAAATTTTAATCGGGCAGTAAATATCACTGATAATCATCGCGTCCCTGTATCGAATACAGGGTGAAATCTTTGTTGGTCGATAATTAAAGAAGCTAATGAGTATGTGAGTCGATAAAAAAAAATGTTGAATTGAAATAAAAGATAAAAATATCAAAGTTACGTGAACACAACGGTTGCTTTACATAATTGCTATATCGTCTTGTCTGAATTACTTTTTTCTTAATCGTGTCTTCGAAAAATTCTTATGAAAATTTATGGAAAAAAAAGTGGATATATTTTTTCAGTGGATATATTTTTTCAGTGGATATCCATTTTAAACCACTGAATTACCAGTCCTTTGGAATTCGCGTGGCATCGGTAATTCGATTGCGTGAAATATCTTGCAGTTGTATCCCACGAGCCCCGCCATTTTTGTATCTTTATTTTCCAAGTCAGTTCTTTGTCCTCTCGCGCGGGAAATAACCTCCAGTCCAGACTACGATACTACGTGAGTCATGGTCAAACGAGAATACAAGTCACAAAGGAATAACACGTGTTTTTGAAGAATGCGTAAAAAGACTTAATAGCATTTCTCGGTCGGTCAATATTTTTTGCAATATATCCCTTTTTTCAGGCCAAATGTACCACCTGAACATAGCTTTGCCATGAGAATCAATTTGGTGCGCTACATTCAGGTGATGCATTCCGACTGTGTAACCCGATGTATACTTCGTGTATAGGAAAAATAGCACAGCTATACTTATATCGAAATTTCATGCACACTCATACGGATATCAAATTCGTTCTGTAATTTTGTCTTTCAAACTGTTTACTTTAAAAAGGAAGCAACGAAAATATTAGAAGGAAGGTCAACGTGCGTTTGCAATTTCTTATTAAAATAAAGGAACTGATGTCTCATCATAGTCATCCCAGTCATAAATTATTAACTATACTTTCGATTATGATATCCGGGAGAAAACGTGACGTCACGTACTATGACATGCATACTACCTTCCGTGTTGCAGGAGATATGTCATGTGAATTTCTAACCCCTTTATCAAATATATCTAGTGACGCAGATTGAACATCAGTTCTCAATAATTTAATAGATTTTGCTAATTACTGTCGGTAAAACAGATCGACATTTCTTTACTCTCAGAATATCACGGGGATACGTATATAATATTTATTATGTAATACCCATAGAAAATAGGAATTCAGCTGAAACACGTGTCAAGGACAAGAGAGACGATCGTTAATTTCTGGAAAATTATAACGTATCAGAAATAGTAATGAAAAGATGAAAAAAATGAGTAAATCGCAAACAACCCATGTACGGCAGTATGGCGTCGTCAATAAATATCATAAATTTTGTACTGTTCTTGTAAAAATAAAAAAAAACTATGACAAAGCAGTACCTGCGGTCTGTTCAGCTTCGAAAAATTTGAAAAAGTTGAGAATTTATGAATTTTAACAAAAAAATCCTTAAATGGCAATTTTAGTCATGCATGCCTTGTATGAATATTACAGCTGCGTCACCTGGTTACGAGCGAACCATAAGATCTTCTTTGAAAATGATGGTGAAGAAGACGTTGAAAGAAAAAAAAAAAATTGCCCAGTATATTATATGTGCAAACAATACATATTATTTTGCTTGAAGCCTCGAGAAAATTATTCTTATCCGCGTATAAGCTTGCGATAAGAATGATTAATGAACTTGTCCCTTATCTCCTTCCCTAATAAAATACAATGATGCTTCTCTTAAACGCGTTAATGATTTCTCGCGTAGCTGCTGTGCAAGGCACGTAAAATCGCGATTTTATCGCGAAACGCCGCATTCATCCTTTTTCTTTCTATTCCGATCGAACCGCAATTTCTCCGGTAGGAAAGAAAGGCCGCCGTTGGTAATGGCAACCATGGGTGGAGGAAATACATTTTAATGCTTTTGCATGCACATACATACAGCGAGCACGCATCGTAGCTGCACAAAACACAAGGTGAAAAGCGTGTCTTGTTTTACAAAGTGAACGTAATTTCTCGACTGTGAAAATGATGGTTAATGATTTTTTATTTTGTTTTTCCTATATTTAATACCTGTTCCATACTGCTTCGACGTTCCGCAGCCATTATGTTCTGCAAAGTGAAAATTTATCCTTGGATATTATACATCTTGCCGTTGTACATAATCCTGAACATACCTTAGTCGCCTTAATAGGAACTACCCCTACAATAACTTCAATACGGACGGAACTTGGAAGTAATAGAAATGTAATGTGTACATTCTAGGTCACGATATACGTATATTTAACGTTTGCGACAGTTTGCACAATAGCATTTCGAAAAAAAAATAATACAGCCCATCGTAACCACCAATGTTTACAAACAGTTTGTGATGGAAATTGTTAATAGTGGGAGATACATAACGATAAGCCAACAGATAACGGCTACCGCTAATGTTTATATTCAATAAAATAATCGACATGGTCAACGAAAGACACTGACAGTTCAAAGTTCACAAAGTCTGAAGAGACATGGAAACAGTAAGCATTGTGAACGGAGAACGGTCTGTTCCCAGAAACAAAACAAAGGATGCCAACAGTAAGCATGGAGTATATAATTTGGTATATTTATTTAAAATCCTATCTTATCAATACACTGGTTATCAATTTTTATTAAGATAACGAACCAAAACAACTTAATTCTATTAACACGAATGCCAAATAATGCACTTCGCGAGGAAGATACAAAAGTAACACAAAGGACAGAATGTCTATGCATATACAGTAAAACCTCGTTTATCCGACCTTCGATTAACCGAATCTCCGCGTTATCCGAGGCAACGGACTTATCCGTGAATTAGCTCTTAAATATATTGAGGAATAGCCGAAAAGTAATGCAAGTGACCTCTTATCGATGAAACGATAGCGAAATATTGCAACTAAAAACGAACGAGCAGGTTGGAAGGGTACTCTATCACGGACTTTCTTAAGCCGCGTTAGTGACAAGTTACACGTCATGTAGTAACAATGCTTTGTATCCCAATGATTAATCTAAGTTCGTTAGATTTTCACTTTTATATACTTTTGTGATTAAATTTCATGCTACCATTTGAAATACATAAAAAATGATTAAAATTTTCCAATTTTTCATTTTTTTCCGTGTTATCCGAGTTTTCGCTTATCCGTGGTATCTCCTCCCCACATTGCCTCGGATAAACGAGGTTTTACTGTACATAAATGAGGAAAGTGGACCAGGAACAGTAGCAATGACATCAGCGAAAGGATATCTCGAGCTTGTACGTCGGACGAAATTCTCAGTGATCCCGGAACAGGCGGTCTCTTGTAGCGATGGCAGCGAATGTGTCGTGAAAAAGAATGTAGGACGTCACGCAATTTGCGCCACCCCCATGGAATGAGCATGAGGAATGTGTGCCAGCGTGCTGGCTGACTCCCTGGCAATAAAACGTCAACACATTCTTTGTGGTTTCTGTCTCAGTTTCCATTATCGCTTTTCTTCTTGTGTCTCAAACAATAAAACAAAGATCTATTTGTCTGACTTATACATTTTCTGATAACATTACGCTTTCTTTTTACTACCGATTACTATTATTCTTATCATATGTTATTAATGGTCGTCGATTGTATCAAAGGAAATAATTTGTAAAATTCCATCGGAACGCCACGAGTACCAGCGACACTGTGTACCAGGAGTATCGTGCGCTAACTCAGTGAGACATCGAGTTTGAATCGTTCGGTGGGTCAAATAACGGTGATACTCGCATGCTCTTCATACTATACTGTTTATACTTAATGTCCTACACTACTTTTGTTATCTGCTTTTCGAATTACGAATATCTGACAATTTTTACTTCGTATATCGCGCGTGGTTAAATATTATTAAAATAAAGATACATATGCATAGCGAGTATCGCTGTAATTGCGTCACTGAACGTAGTACGGAGATTAGACAGTAAGCAAAATAAGGATCGACTGTTTTTTATGATGAGCATTTTTGCATTAGCTCGTTCGGTAGCTTGAAGGTTTCATGGTGTTTCCATAGTCAGTATACGATTAATACCTGAAGGCCTGTAAAAGCCGACCGAAATACACAGTGCTGACCCACATAAACGTAACAGTATATCAATGGGTACTCCGCAGACCCTGTCTAAAATTTAAAGTGCCTTCTTGTAACAGTGACACGTTTATACGCTTGGCGAGAGTTTTTTCTTCATGTGTGAATGCCATAAAACGTGGTAGTGTTTTGATTTCGAGTGCTCACTGTTATTGTGTTTCAGGTGACAATATATACCAAAGAGTACAAAGTAGTATGCCACATCAAAGATGGATATCCATAAGCGGCCTCTTTTTATTCTATCTTGCCGCTACCAACTGGACAGCCTTTGGTTTGTGAACCTTCTTCTTATTGGATTATAGTTGATAAGTTACTGGTAGTTCTGGAAATGGATATGTAACGGCAAACTTCATTCTTGTTCAATCTAGGAAGTCCACTTCGCGGTCGTGCCAAACGAGAGGCGGAAATTGCAAGCACCAATTGGACACAGCTGGCCGACGTATGGATGGAAGCTAAGGATAGGATCACTGATCGGATTGGTATGCCATTACTTTTGGGTAATGGGAAACTGCGTGATCTACCACCAACCGTTAACGTAGTCATCAATGGCACCAGTTCAGAAGAATTGATCAGGGTAAGGATGACGATGAGGAATATCCTAGATATTGTGTATGCAATTAATTCAGAATTAGTAATGGGACTTTCACAAGTGATCAAGGATCATAAATAAACAGCTGATAGTTATTAGTTTTTCGTTTGACTATTTCACTTGGTGTGAGTCATTTCAAATTGCAGATTAACTTTCACACCGTACTTATTATTGTCTGATTAACTCACTGTGTTACTAGTGTGAACTCCTTATTTGCTTAGCTCACTTCCTTTCTTTATTCCTTCCGTTCTTCTTTTACTTGATGCTCTCTTCCATCCCCCACGATGTCACCGCTCTCACTTTCAGTATCAAAATACTTTCACCATTGGTCGCCGTTACAAGTGCAACGCACAGCACTTCATGATGCCTACTCATTTCTACGCTTGGGAATAATTTTATCTGCTTTTTAATCGATGAGCTAATGGATCAGCGTTAAGATGCTGTGTTTTAATGAAAGTATTAGCGGAGAGAGAAAGAGAGGTGTAAGGAAATAGAGAGTATTAATACTTTACACATGTCACTTCAGATGAATTATTCACGGATGCTGTGGGACATGGAAACATCTCAATCGAGTGGTCAACTTTCTGGATTCGTGGATAAGGCTCTAAGGCTACTTGACCTTAGGCAGGTCATGATGGAGGTCGAAACATCTGTTATGTCAAAGGTCTCCTGCACAGCTTGTAAAGTCGGTGCTGGTCTTCTGCAACATTACATAAAAATTGGGAAAAGCGAAGACGACATTATGAACAGTATATATCAGTTTTGTGTGTCTCTGAAAATACAGAGTCCAAGAGTGTGCCAGGGTGTCACTTTACTCTTTGGTGTAAGTTAATAATCATTAATTAATTATTTGACTAACTGTTCATTATATTCTTAATCCTCTTCTTTCAGGGTGAAGTCGTATATGTTTTGAAACAGATCAACATGGGTCCATCACAGATATGTAGTTTTGTCATAGGTGATGCTTGTGACGATGCATATAATCCTCAACATGAGTGGGAGGTTGCTTTTCCACCTGTTAATAAACCACCAATTCAACCACCTATTTCACCTAAGGAAGGTGCACCGACATTCAAGGTTCTTCATATATCAGATACACATTACGATCCTTACTATCAGGAAGGTGCTAATGCTGAATGCAACGAGCCATTATGCTGTCGTTTAACAAATGGCGCACCGTTGACTTCATCTGCTGCTGCAGGCAGATGGGGTGATTACAGAAAATGTGATACACCTAAAAGAACCGTGGATCATATGTTGAAGCATATTGCTGATACTCATACGGTGAGTACATTTTTATATCTAAAGAATTTAGGATATTCTGGATCCATTAATATGTAATTAAAGAAAATATCCAACTGTGTAAGCAATTAAATTACTATGATAATGAGTATTTATATTGATTTTTAGGATATTGATTATATTCTTTGGACCGGTGATCTTCCACCACATGATGTCTGGAATCAAACTCGAGAAGAGAATTTGAAAATTCTTCGTGAAACTGTACAGCAAATGATTAAAATTTTCCCAGGTATTCCAATATTTCCAGCACTTGGTAATCATGAAAGTGCACCAGTTAATAGGTAAATGTCCATGTTATGCTAAGGAATTATGAATAGAAAGTTTTATTTAATATTCCTCTTGGTAGTTTTCCACCACCATTCGTTCCTGACGACAATAAAATTTCCTGGCTTTATGACGAACTTGACAAACAATGGAGACGATGGTTACCTGCTGGTGTCTCACATACTGTACGCAGAGGTGCATTCTACTCTGTTCTCGTTAGACCAGGATTTAGGATATTATCAGTCAATATGAATTACTGTAACAATAAGAACTGGTGGCTCCTAATCAATAGTACCGATCCTGTGAGTGAACTGCAGTGGCTCGTTTATGAGCTCCAGGGTGCTGAAATAAATGGAGAAAAGGTTCATATAATTGGTCACATACCACCAGGACATTCTGATTGTCTGAAAGTATGGTCCAGGAATTATTATCATATTATTAATCGATACGAGTCCACTATCGCTGCTCAATTTTTTGGACATACCCATTATGATGAATTTCAATTGTTCTACGATACTACGGATCTTGGTAGAGCACTTAGTATAGCTTACGTTGGACCTTCTGTGTCACCATATTATGATCTCAATCCTGGCTATCGAATATACTATGTAGATGGTGATCATCCTAAAACAACCAGGGTAAGTGAGCCATAATAAGAAGAAAAAAATCCTTATTATACTTGACTCATGCTCAAATAATCATGAATATTTCAGATGGTTGTGGATCACGAAACTTGGGTAATGAATCTAAAAGAGGCAAATCTTTATGATTATCCAATCTGGCACAAAATGTACAGTGCACGTCAGGCTTATCAGATGATATCGCTACTTCCAAGAGACTGGGATTCCTTGATAGACAAAATGACTAATGAGCCTTCGCTATTCGACCTTTACTACAAGTAATTAATATTCGCTACCTTATTGTATTTAAGTTATACAAGCTTTACATTGAAATCTTATATTCACTTTTAGACATTACTATAAGAATTCTCCAGTGAGGCCAAACTGCAATGACGAATGCCGGAAACGACTACTGTGCGATCTACGCAGTGGAAGAAGCCACGACAGGAAAGCTCTTTGTCAGAGCTTAGAATCAAGAATAGATGGCGAAACGCGAACGGGCTGGCGAGCTTGGATTTACAACGGGCTTGCATTATCGTACGTACCAAATTGGTGTTATAGGCCTTTTTACTCCGGTGACATTGAGACTAACAACGTCGATACGTAACTGTAAAACCTTATACACCACACAAGTACTTTATGCTTGCCCACCTCCTGGTGTTAATTTTTAAGCAATCTAAGCAACTTCATAACATTTATCTTTTAAAATTAACATTATAGTATTCCCAGTAATAAGCACGCCAAAATAAGTCTAATACAAGTAATAACCATACATTTATATATAATAATTGTTTTAAGCTATGGCATAGATATTAATTACACGGATCGAACAAAGTTCCATAGATGTCTACAGAATATACAATGCGTAATATTTATTTGATAGATGTCTATAGCAGTTTTGTATTATCCGGGCACAACTTTTTACTAAGATAACTCACGGCTGTGTTTTTTAAATAATTCGAGTTGATATACATATATTTTAGTAGAGAAAATTTGAAATATATATATATATATATACACATAAAAGTATTAAGGAATGTTGCATTTTATTGCTAGATTCTTTGTGCCCTCCATATTCGTTATCCATTGTTTTCATATAGTTAGTGAAACCACTCTACGAAGCGTTATAGTTCCAAGGGTAGTGCCCTTTTTTTGCTGTGAGAAATGTATGTACATCTATCATGTCTGTCAGACCAAGCTTCATCACTGGAAGGTTACATGATATAATATGATACAGCATGTGAAGGGAAAAGATCCTCTTTACAGTAATATTTTAAGTAATATTAAGTCTGCCATTTATCATTCAGATGATTCTAAAGTTGCTTTATGAAACAACTTGCACCATAATAGTTTCATTAGGCATAAAATAATTAATTAATTAGAAAAGACATTAGCTTATAAGTTCAGTCTACAGTTTCATCATAAATTAAAGTATGCGTTCAAACTGTGTACAAAGATCACATTTATATTTCTAATAAAACATTATCACGCTGTTAGTGGAAAGATATGCTAGTATAATTATATATATATATTGTATATAAATATTACCGCTTATATTTCAGCACTACACAATAGTTCTATTTGCCACTATATAATCCTTTGCACTCGATTGTCTTCTCTCAGGAATCAATATATATAGAAAATTATATAGAAAATAGAAAAATCTCAAGTGCAAAGGGTTAATAATAATGGTATAACATGGTTATGGTAAAAATATAATTCACACTATGGTTTAAGGTATTTTTTTGCTCTAATAATCACATTTTAGACATCTGCTACAGTAATTTCTGTACATATATCACTAAACCTCAATCTCTATTTTTTACACTGTACAATGGAACTGGAGTTAATCATGGTAATTGGATTCAACTGTTTCAACATCTAATGATAATAGTAAGTAAAAAATGAAATTAGTATATTTGATTCTACCTTGTAAATATACCCAAAAAAAGGAAAAGATCAGCTTATCACAGTTTTTTCACCAAGAGTCACTAACCATCTATAAATAATGGCAATATTCACTCTCTTATGTAAATTTGAAATGAATTAACAGCTGATCATTCATGACATGCTCACGGGTCTCTACGTGAGCGAGAGCTTCTATTAAAATTCCAAGTGCGATTCCAATGGCCAAGCCCACTGGGATTACACATCATAAAACAGTACTTAATACTAAATGCTTGGCTGGCATAATGATTCGGAAATCATTTGGCAATTCAAGGATTGTGGAACTAGCTTGACCAGGAAAAAATATTCCACAATCAAATCACGCTCCTTTTGCAAACAAACGTTGATAATATTTAACTAGTCTTTTTACTATTCTCAGGATGTCAGTGGTGATGGCCATACCAAGATTCGCCTTCAATCTGCCAAAATACGTTTTGGGTCTGGGTTAACCTAGCGAGACATCAATGACGAAGATACTCAACATTGTGATGATTTTAATCCTCGAGATTTCACGAAGTCATTCCATACTCATATTTCACCGCAATGGAATTAAGTATCCTATGATCTCTCCGTTCGATGCATATAATTATTACGCAAGTACCTCTTTCGAGTATCACTAAGTACATTCAATTTTGAATTCACTATTAATCTTGAATATTTCTTGCGTATTTTATTTGAGTCATTGGTGAATATAAATTTTTCTCTTCCTTTATTCGTATCAGTCAAAAATATATAGATCGTTCGGTTCTTGCAAAACGCAATGAGCGCGAAATCAAGAGTTCCAGTGGTGTGATTAACGACTGTTACAATAAAACAAAAATCTTCAAGGTTTTCTTTATGCGCAGTGACTCGAAGAAGATAGAAATAGGTATAGCGAAACTCTGACTTACGAAGATTCCGTTAGGATGATGATAAAAACTCTAAAGAAGGCGAATTAAACGATGTGCGATGATGATACGTGTTAAAGTTGGCAGGACGGTGTTCCTTGTGTTCTTAAGTTTTCTGAAGGATACGCGATATTAGGATAAAAACTATCGATAGAAATTGAGTGAATAACTGCATCAAATGTCTTGTTATAGCAAGAGAAATTTTTATTTTTATTTTTGTTATTTCGGCTGCTAGTGATTCTACTATTGAAATTTAATTATCAAATCTTATGCCTTCTCTTATGGCTCACGTCCAATCCAATGGTGCTCGAGTCGATTCGACTCTTTTGTGACAAAAAAAGAGATGGGCGAACAATTTATAGAGAAATTATTTATATATATATTGTGCAAGATTTTTCGATTGTCTGAGGCGCGTTTTAACTAGATTAAAGATTCTGGTCCGACTCGCGCTCCAATGAAGAATTCAAAATGGACACGACATATAGGATACTGTTTGAGTACATTTTTCTTCTTAAGGGTCGAGAGGGGATGGTAGTATGTTCAAGAGTTCAATTTATTTAAATAAAGGAAATGGAACGCGAGTCGACCACTTGACTGTATATATAAATGTAAACTATATTTATTTATACACAGATAATTCTGTTTTAGCATATATTTTTAATAAGTATGAAAGACATTTTATATGTTAATGAAAAAGTTTTTATTTTTGTTTCCTTAACCCCTTATATCCATTTCGGTTAGTCAAGATTAGATATTGAAGATAATGACCTGTTTAAATGTCTTTGTGCCTTAAAATTAAAGATACAAGCTACCATTCATTAAGTTATGTTATCTCTTACTTTTTTATTCACATTTCTTCGACATTTGGAAATTGATAGAGAATTGTAAATTTATTTATATTCCAAAGATTTCGAACGCTTTTTATAATAACTGCGGTTATCAGCAATATTTGAGAAGGATACATAAATTTGATTAATTAATTCTAAAACCCTGCACTATGAGAATGACGTCTTTGCTAATATCTTCTCACTGGTTTGATAACATCAAAGATTAGTAGGAAGATGCCAATGAGCCGATTTTTCATGGTCCAAGTTTTATTTCTGGGTCGACACGCTATCTGACGGCTGAAGAATTCTGCATTACTGGATTATATACAGGGTGTTCCGAAATTACCTGACCAACGGGATATGGCGGTGTTCGGGAAACACCACTGATCACGAAAATGACCTTCCTTTTCTCCGAAAGGTCATAGTTTTTAAATAGGAGCAGGTCAAAGTTGACCAATCAAAGCGAGGCGTCAAGAGAAATGTAGGCACCTACGAACTCTGAGTTCGTTTTTTCGAGTTTTTTCGAGTTTTTTTCCCTCGCTTTTGTTTCTCGGTGGCTTCTTTCTTGTTTCTTGGTTCCAATAGGCATGTCTTCAGCTGACGTCATCCTACCTGAAGCCACCGAGAAACAAAAGCGAGGGAAGAAAACTCAGAGTTCGTAGGTGCCTACGTTTCTCGTGACGCCTCGCTATGATTGGTCAACTTTGACCTGATCCCATTGGCATGTCTTCAGCTGACGTCATCCTACCTGAAGCCACCGAGAAACAAAAGCGAGGGAAGAAAACTCAGAGTTCGTAGGTGCCTACGTTTCTCTTGACGTCTCCCTCTGATTGGTCAACTTTGACCTGCTCCATTTAAAAACTATGACCGTCCGGAGAAAAAGAAGGTGATTTTCGAGATCAGTGGTGCCTCCCGAACACCGCCATACCCCGTTGGTCAGGTAATTTCGGAACACCCTGTACATACATAGTAAAATATAATCATTTATTTATTAAATCCTAAGGTAATTAATAAAACGAATAAGCCTAGTAAGCGAATCAATATTAAAAAAAATAATGCCGAGTCTGGAATCTGAGACTCCTACGCGCTAACCAAAACACCATGCACGTATGCTATTCGCTCATCATGGTAAAGAAATCGGGAAACTTATATTTCCCATATTACCAACGTTTGGGGGTTTGCTCAGGGTAGGTATACGTTCGAGCAATTCCAAACGTGGGACTAGTTCGAAGCTCCTCCGTCCAGGTGGCGCGTCGACACCAAAACAGAGTGTCACCCGTGCCCGTTTCCTCGGACATTAATCAAAATTTAAACTCCGGTTACCCTATCTTAAAATAATATTTTAAAAATTGAATTAGGCTTAAATCACGTCGGAGGAAACGGGCATCGTTACAAATCCATGCCGTCTCACAGAGCTCACGAATATCACGCATAGTATTACTATTACTATATATGTATACTCGACCAGTCAAAAATGTGAGACTGATTTGGTGCCGAAATAAAACTTGGACCAAAAAAATTGGCTCATTGGCCCGTATTTATAGTCAGTGCTTGAGACGAAGCACAGTTTTAAGACCATAGGTATAAGTAATAATAACACATGGTAGAGGATGTCTTAAGATCTTGCTTAAAACGGAGAACTGACTCTGAATACAGGTCATTGGCAATCTCCCTACTTATCTCTAATAACATTTGCCTATGAACGTAGTAAATTGTAACAAGCATCCAGCGAATGGTGACATCAAACAGACCATAAACGAACTAAAAAATATGGCCGTCGCTTTAAATGTGAGCCTGTCAGGTGGCATGTCCGAATTTTGAGCGTAGACGTATTTCCTAACCTCAAAATCTTAGGAATTGGTTCCACAAATTATTTATAGGTCTTAATTGCAATATGTCCGAAAGATTGACATAGGTTTTGTGTAGTCGTGTTTTAGCAATAAAGAAAGTATACAGAGACGCGAAGTAAACGTTAATATTTTCCTAACTTTTGAATGTGTTTAGGATATATATTTCTTTAGATTTATAGAATATAGTAATGAACGGAATAATACTAGAACCACCATGTGGTGATATAATTGACGATATAGAGGATTTAATATCCTCTCAAGACATCACACCGAAGGAGAGATACAGTACTCGGAAGAACATCACAGTACGTGCTAAACGTAAAAAAAAGGAACAGCCTGTTCATGAACCATCCATCATGTCTAGTATTATACCAGGTACACAGACAATATATGTCAAAACTTGGGGCTGTACTCACAACAATTCTGATAGCGAATACATGGCTGGTCAGCTTGCTGCATATGGATACAATTTGAGCAACGACAAACACAAGGCAGATCTGTGGCTTCTAAATTCTTGTACCGTCAAGAATCCTGCTGAGGATCATTTCAGGAATGAGATAGAGTATGGCAAGAAATTGGGAAAACATGTGGTTGTTGCTGGGTATGATTATCATTAGTATGTACTATAAAATGTTATGAATGTGTGTTTAAGTTCTTTTTATTTTCAGCTGTGTACCACAAGGTGCTCCGAAATCAGGATTTCTCCAAGGACTGAGTATGATAGGTGTACAACAGATTGATCGTGTAGTAGAAGTCGTGGAAGAGACACTCAAGGGTAATACAGTGAAATTCATGTCACAAAAGAAAGAAGCTGGTAAAAAGATAGGAGGTGCTTCCTTGGCTTTACCAAAAGTTCGACGAAACCCTCTCATAGAAATAATAGCAATAAATACTGGCTGCCTCAACCAGTGTACTTATTGCAAAACAAAACATGCGCGAGGTGAATTAGGTAGCTATCCTCCAGAAGAAATACTAGAACGCGCTAAGCAAGCCTTTGAAGAAGGTGTTTGCGAGCTTTGGTTAACATCCGAGGATACGGGAACTTATGGTCGCGACATAGGCACCAGTCTACCAGAATTACTATGGAAGCTAGTGGACGTAATACCAGAAGGTTGCATGATGCGAATAGGAATGACCAATCCTCCCTACATTTTGGAGCACCTCGAGGAAATGAGCAAGATCTTAGATCATCCAAGAGTCTACAGTTTCCTACACGTACCAGTACAATCAGGAAGTGATCAAGTACTAGCGGATATGAAGCGCGAATACACGCGTGCCGATTTCGAGAAAGTAGTGGACTTCTTGCAGAAACGTGTTCCTGGTCTGACAATAGCCACAGACATCATATGCGGCTTTCCAACGGAAACTGATGCGGATTTCCAGAACACCATGGATCTATGCTGTAAATACAAATTTCCAAGTTTATTCATCAATCAGTTCTTCCCGCGACCAGGTACTCCTGCTGCCAGAATGCCGAGGTTATCTGCACAGGAAGTGAAGAAGCGTACCAAGAGACTGTCAGATTTTTTCCAGTCTTATGAACCATACGGGCACAAGGTTGGCCAATTGCACAAGGTCCTAGTCACGGAAATTTCTCACGACAAGCAGCATTACGTGGCACACAATAAATTTTATGAACAAGTCCTGGTGCCTATGAAGGAGACTTACATGGGCAAGATGGTGGAAGTAAGGATCACCGCTGCTACAAAACATTCAATGAAGGGTGAACCACTTGGGGAAGGTACTTCCCCAGCACTACGACAATCCTTACCTCAGGGTATAGTTTCCGGTGTGCCAATAGAAATGCAACCATCAAAATACAGAATCGCTGCAATTTTAACAATATTCTTTGCAATAGCCGTCAGACTGTTCTGGAAGTTTCTAAAGGTTTAATAAAAAATTATATCTGTACATAAGCAAGGTAAATTATTTAACATTTAATAACAATTCACCCTTCTAGCTTCATTTTCAAACTCAATTAAATATCTCCAAAATAACATTTCATATATCATTCCTCTAAACCAGTTACGAAATCCCGTTAGAAATATTATTATCATTACTTTGCTCATCTCAATTTTTAATTACAACTCAATAAAATATTCATTCGCAAGTCAGCCGATCATTAGCTCTACACCGCACGCGTTTCGCAAACCTTCAACTTATCTGCAAGAGCTTATCGAAAGCAGGATATCCGGAATTGACACCAGTTAATTATTACCGGTTGCCGGGCGACGTCTTGAATGAATGAATGTCAGAGTTCTGTATAGGCTTCTACATAAATATCTATCACAACTATAGATATCAGTATTGACACAGGATGGATTAATAATTCATACTGCATGGTTTCTATAAAAGTTTTATATTTAAAATGATAATACAGGAACGCACCCTGAAAGGGCTTACAAATGTGTTTGATTAGGAGAATGCAGACACATTTGACATTCTCACGGGACAATATCTCTCCATTAAAGTAAAGTACAAAAGTAATTCGGTCCCGTCCGAATGAAAGAGGGATCTGCCATTAATACCCTCGGGACGCGCGTACGCAAAACAAAAATGAAGATTCATCTCTTAAATAGTACGCAGAGCATTGAGCATTTTAATTGTCTCTCGCAAGGAGCGAGAAACACGATCTCTTAGTATTCTTAGAGCAAAACTGTACGCGTTACGTGTGAATGAAGGTCTGACAGAATGTAAGAGCGAGAAGAAAAAAAAATAGAACGATGACGAAGAAGAGGAAGGAGAAAGAACAGGCAGTCAAACACACACAAGAATATTATCATTGTTTTTTCTTCATTCACTTATTGCATTAACGATGCATTTTTATTTGGTATCACCTTTTTTTTTCATCAATACTAAAAGAAATTTAAGAATAGCTTAGCCTAGAAACGCATCGAGTTCCTGCCAAAGTGTCCTGAGTATTAAGGTCTGTATAAGGTTTATTTACTTTAACATGGAGACAGGGAAGAATCGTGAGATTTTAAGAGGACCACGTGGGACACGTGGACATGGGGGTACGGATACACGCAAAACGGAATATTAGTGAGAAGATGTGAAAGCCATTATTTTCAGACTACTAATTAATACATTAAAAGAATTTTTAGCTTACTCGTATTTGTCATGTTCATCTCATATAGTAACTACTGGATCGGTGCATATTAAACGAAATTCCACAGGAATGAAAAATATCGACAAATTTGTCACTCTAATTACGACAAATTTTTACAAAAGTTCCTTCTCTTATAGCGCATTTGGGATTAATTTCCATGTTAATCCCACGAGGATTTCAACTGATAACATTTCTTATTTTGCTTGATACAGGCATCTAACGTCGAAGAAACGAGCAATAAGAAATTATGAGATTTTTATTTTCTGAAATTTTAAGAATAAAAATAACTAGCTGATTCTCATTGGATTTGCTCTCGCCATACATCGTCTATTTTTGATGACAGATACGAGTATAATAATAAAATAGTGATCCTGGACCGAACGAATGACCCATTTTTGTGTTTGGCAATGTCGCACTAATACGAAGGTCGCCATAGATTATAATCGGTTTGAGCAACAAGTCGGTCGAATAATCGAATACATTATAAAGAACCGTAGCCAGCAGGTTCCGCGAATGGTTTTCACAAACTGAGTGACGGCCTGCACCGTACAATATCCCATTTCTGTGATAGAAACAGGTTTATTGACGATAGATAATTAATATAAGCCTGGGATTTTTTCAATCGGAAACTGGTTTCATTTTATTAATATATATGTATATATATGTGTACGTGCGTATATGTACGTTTATTCCTAATTGCTGGCCTTAAATATATAAAATTAAATCTTATAAGGCACTCGGTTCGTTGTAGCTTTCAAACTTGCTTTCGTTAATCTACTCTCTTATCATACAAACCTCGGGCTCGCATTAGAAACTCTAGATTAAAAGCTAATTGCTTAGATATGTATAAGACTTTGCTTACGTTCTAATTTTGAGAATTAAGTAAAAAAAAAAAATATGGCTTAGCACGCTTAACATACGATTGAACAATTTTGACGATGCTCGGGTGAACGATTTTTTTTTGGATGATTGTGGAAAAACGAGGGAAGTACATGGAGGGGATAGCCTTGGGAGAGTGTCTGCTTTCACTTTTTTTACACAAATTTTGGAGAACCTTCCTTTCCAAAGAACGGGTATCTCTCTGTATATATAATATAAAATCCAAAAAGTTCCGGGCTTACACGTTAATTATATGTACAAAGTAATTCCTTTCTTTTTGATTAAGTAGTCTTTGATCGAAAAGCGCTGTGTAAACTTTTTAAAAAATTTACGTACACTGGAATGATAGAAATTCGTATCACAGAAATGCCGTAGCTACGAGCCGTCCGTCCGGTACGTTTTATAAAAATGAAAAAGAAAAAAAGCAATGGCACATTGGAGGAGATCAGATAAGTCTTTTTTTTCCTTCCTCTAAACTAGATCGAATTTCAAACAGCTTCGGAAATACTTTAGGATTTGCCTGTGAAACAGTGAAACTACGGAGCACCGGTTTGAACTTTCGCGCCACGGCATTTCGAGGAAATATTTGGGATCTATGCTTAGAGAGCCTTTGTGTATAAACGTATAATTTTTTTAATTTCATTTTTTTTTCCTTTTTACAATTCCAAACTCAAAATTCCTAATCGACGTCCAGCCAACTCGATAACTTCTCCCTACGCTACTCATAATATACACAATAATACGAATTATTAATCCTCGATACCCATAGTGAAAAGTACCAATTTACTATCAGCGAATACATTCGATAAGAGTATGGACTTCGATAAGGAATCTCGAAAGTGGCAACGAATATATATGTATATATATTACTATGCGCTCGAGATATTTACATGCAGTCTTTATTGAAACACACATAAAGTTTACATAGATTTTTAATTCTACTAGCAGAGTTACAGGTGGACAGATAAACAAGTTGTGGAAATTTTTAGCGTCCGACAGTTAAAAATTGCTACGTAAAATATAAAAGAAACAAAGGAAGATACGAGGACAAAAAAGTTACGAAATAGGGATTTATTGAAAAAAAAAAAAAAGGTACGACAGAAATTGGGCTAGGAATCAGAAAGAGAAGAGCCCGGAAACACGAAGGTTATAAAAAGCGCTTAAAAAAAAAAAAGAAAACATTGAGAATTTTTCCAGTCGCGTCCATAACACAGGAATTACGTAAGTGTAAACGAGAAAACACACACAAACAAAAAAAATATGGCAAACATTATGGCGGAGACTAAAAAATGGCACGAAATTTCCTCCTTGTATCCGACGTAATCCCTCGGGGAAACCAAACTTATTTAAAACTTAAAAGAAAAGGAGCGTAATCGCGCGACAAGCTCGTAATAACTTGTCGTCCGTATTAATTTTGGCATTGCTCGAGCGTTACAAAATTTCAGTGTCTTCGCCGGAGCTCTTTAATTATTTTCGTTCGATAACATTTCCCCGTCCTCCGCCTCGATAATAATACTTAAAAAGTCGACGCAAAGTAAAACAAAGGACATTCTCCTTAAACGACTAGGAGTGCGAAAAGAATATCTTTTTGTTTCCGAATCAAACGATTGTCTCGCAAGGCAACGAAAGCACGCTACGAGAATGATCTTCTGGCTGCTGAGATTCGTGCACGATGCACAACGAGACCGGGTATCAGAGAATGACGCAAAACCTATTCCTGCTTCTTCTTCTTCTTTTACGCGCGAATGGGAATATCGCCATAAGGAGATTGAAGTACTGCGAGAGGCTTGCAAGCCAACGGATCCAAAATGACGCAAAAAGCCGTCCAGACCAGACTTAGGCACTCGTTTTCGTCTCTCGAGGCCGTGGAGTCAGTTTACACTCCTCCTACCAAGAGTTCCTCCTACTTCGCCACCTCCACTCTACCATTCTGCGAGTCACGAAGCGTGCATAATTCCTTGAAAATTCTCAATGATAGTCGGGACAGTTAGAACGACTGAACGTTACTAGAAGTATTATAAAAAAAAAATACTAAAAGTTCCAACAATCGGATTACTTATTTGATAAGAAAGAACGATTCGTCCAAGACACAGCGATCGATCCGATTAATTGGTAAAAGTTCAGTTTTTTAAAATGAAACATTTCCCAAGACTCACGGATTAATCAAGCTCCAATAATAATACCGATGACGTTTCGTTGAGCTTGCAAATTGGTACAGTGAAATTCAACGAGGATACGTATACGGATCTTAAAATTATTTTTCCTATATCCTTCGTCGCACGTGACCGATCAGCTGACGAGAGAGCACCTCCTCTTGGAATGGACGGACAAAGTAGAATGCACGCTGATGGGAGTAGTTGGATGATAATTTTCTTCTCGAAGAGACTAGGTCCCACGACGTTCAGATGGATCCGTGAGGTCGACGTTAAAGCCGTCTCAGGTTACGTTTGCTTTGCCTGGAGCCGACGATCAGCCTCTTGTTGCGTTTCGTTGGCGTAGCGAGAAGAGGCGTTTTGCAGGGACCGGTATGAGGTCTCGAGGAGCAAGAGGTACAGAACTCCATGGAGCATCCCTGCCTGGAACAGGTTCCTACGTTCTTCTCCCCATCTACGTGGCAGGGGAAGGAGCACCTTGGGCAGGGCAGCAGGTGCTCCCAGGGTGCAAGTGTGCGACTAGCCTGTAACAAATTAAAGCATTTCCTTTAAGATAGGGTTGAAGATCATCGATGAACGTGAGAAAAGAAAAAAGATAATTATCTTATAAATAAAAGGACCTATCGCAACCAACGTATTTCTCACGACAGCCAATGATCCAGCTGATCGTCTTATCGCATTCTCAAGTTCACCCCCAAAAACCCCATAGGAAAGAATTGTATCGTTCCCAAGATAACCCCTGGGAAGAGTCAAGGGAGTCGGTACCCAGGGAGATCCAAAGTCCCGGGCAAGATGGCTGATTAAATATTTTCTCGACGTTCCTGGGAGGCTTTTTGTCACGCGAGATTCTCAGAGGTGGTTACGGGGTACGATCGATCGAAACCTGCCGAAGACCTCCGAAGTCTCCTCACGAAATAATAATTACCTGAGCCTCATTAAGGAACCGATCGAAACGATTTGAACAAGCTCGTGCCTTGTAGTTCAATCATTCTGTGTACGTACGGCTGGTCAGAAAAATCTACACACCGGTATTCCGAGTCCAACAAAAATGATCTCCAATTTTAAAGATAAACCGTTAACGGCTCTCGTTTCTTTCTTGCCTAGCAACCGCGGATATGACCGTAAAATAAATTAATAAAAAATCCGACCGCACTCGCCTTCGATATGCTCCTACCTGTCGATAAGAAAAATAACAAAACAAATTTACACCTATCTCCGGCACGATGCCCAGATGAACCTGGGGGCAAAAATGGTCCAGCATCCCGGTGGCACGAGGCCGCCCATAAAGTCCCAAGCATATATTAGCCATTATAGACTTTCGTTTCGGCGGAAGGTCCAGCCATCTGAAGTTAATCGCAAATATACGATCTTGTATCTTTACCCCTGTTCCTGACTCCGAGGATCCTTCTAGCCGTCGTTAGACTCATGGGCGTTGTTGGTACTCTGGACAGCTGATACCCAGCATCATCAACACGGCTGGTCCAGCTTACGTGCGCGTTAGAAAAAAACAAACCATAAAATCTATATTTATACGTACTAGAACCGAATCTGATTGATTTCCTAGATCAGGTTTCATTCAGTTTCTTTAAATGCCCCCCGTGATCGATTCGTTAACGATTCTGTCGCTAATCTCCAAGTCGGCATACTAATCTCGACGGAACAGTCATTCAGGACCTGTTTCCTGTCGGTGGATAATTTATTCGATAATAATAAAAGAGATAATCAAAACGACGACAAATTTCTTGTAAGACACCAAAACGACCTATTCGTCTCTTTCCATGCTAAATTGGCCGATGATCGGTAATCAATATTTTTCACTGTTGGACCAGCAGCAAGTAGAAGGAGAAGGATGCATGCAAGAGAATAAGGAGTGAGGGTAATAAAGAGAAGAAAAAAAAAAGATCGAGCTTGGAGGTTATGGTCAGTGCGAAACTGCGGTTTGAACGTCACTACCTAATGGCTTCCGAGGCCGGTGAATTCGGCTTCGTGTTTCATGGGAAAATATCCAGTGTTACGGTTATGGCGAGAAGGTGGACGTAAGAGAAGAAAAAAAAATGTCAACCAACAGGAACGTACCGCAATGATGGTTAATCCCGCAAATACGAAAGGTATCCGTTGGATACGAATTTGGAGGTTATAGGGTTCACGTAAAATCATACCGACAAATTCGAGACATTTGTCCACCGGTCCTTTCACCTATCAGATCGAATTAAGGCGCCAAACGTAATTCGATATCTCCATTAAACACTGTATTGAATTACGCTTTTAATTCGTTCGAATTACCCAGTCGACTTGGCCTCTTCAACCTCGGACGGTCACGGGAATTTCCTGTTGGCCGCCCTGACTAATTCGGTCTCCTTTGCTTCTGAGCTCACCGTGCCGGCAATCGAAGAGATTAGCCTGAGGTTGCAGGATTCAAGATCGGCGTCTTGCGCACCAGTCGAAACGCGTATCGATCGACCGAACCGAAATTGCTTTGGACACTTTTGAAAGCACGAAATATGAAGCCGTAGCCGCGTTTTCGATGATTCTTAAAGATGCGTGTGCTGAGCGTGTGAATAATTTTACCGGACTCTTCCTACTTCCCATTCTGGACACTGAATTCGTAGTTGCCGGGAGCATCGGTTATCGTCAGAGACTCATTAAGTACCATTAGCCTCGTGCAGCATATCAATGAAACACCTCGTGTGTCTTTCATATGGCGTCACGCTATAAGGCGTCGGCAGAGAGAAAAAAGCATCTCTTTCATATCCAGTCTCCTCGCTGGACCTTTGTATAAGCACACTGCGTGGATCTCGAATCAAAGTGCCTGCAGTACACTGAAGGTGGGTCTTGTGGTGGATGAGAAAAAGTTAAAAGAGCAGATCGTGAGTCGTCGGTAACGTCGCATAGAATACATAGAAAGTGTCTCAATCGACCACCGCGTGATAACCGTCAAATCACGATTTACTGGCGTTTAAGCGCTTTCACCTTATACACGTACTTGGTTACACGGAATGCACACCCTCCCGTGGCGCCAAGTGCCGGTAAAAGCATATACCGCTTTGTTGTGTAGCATAATCGCGATAAAAATCGCTGACCATGTGCGTAGAGCTGAAGGGTGCATAAATCTTGGAATAGGTCGTATAAGAGTGTCGTTGCGGAAATTTTGTGGTAAACCCGCGACGTCGGGTACCAGGTACGGGTTTAGTGATTGAGAAAAAAAAAAAGTATCAGAAAAAAGCAGAAAGAATAATGGGCCAAAAAAAGTGCGCCAATCAACGCCCACGTTCCAACGCCGACGTCACACGTCACGATCGTCAGCGTCACGTCGTGACGTCAGAGTACGACTGTTAATTCATGTATATATATATATGTGCAAAATTGCTAGGACCACCATGTAGTAGGCATCGAAGATTCTGAATGGTCCAGCCCTGAACCGCGAAATACGATGTAACATAGCCAATGTATTTTTCAACGATTTCTATCCATTGTAAGAATATTTTTGTTGCAGCAGGAAAAATCTTGGATGAAGATTATTTGAGGGGCCTTGTCGTGAACTGGTAGGATGGCGAAGGAGACAAAGATTGAAGTTTGGACCGGAGGCTCGGGTTCCGGGATTAAGGCCCCCGATGAACCAGGTATATATAGTAGGTGCAGGTAGGCCCCGTTCGGTTTTTGAAGTGGGCCAGAGGCCCAGCGGCAACACGCGTCTGATATATCATTACCCTCGGCCTGACTGTTGCTATGCAATTATAGCCGGTTAAATCGGAGTTTTTTGCGTGGTCCTGCAAAAGGACGATAATCCCAGAGCAGAGTCAACGAAGAAAGTCTAAAGGAACAATCGGGATCGGCGGTCGAGAAAGTGCACGATATCTACAGCTGCCTCTATATACCAAATGAGTCACGTGTAACAAGAAGAAAAACAATAATACAAATAATAACACACAGATGAGCTCCAGCCAGAGGCGAGCGACCTCTCTTCCGCATATTCGATCCGCATATCGTGTTCTGCAAGGACGGGAAAGGAGGGCCGGTGGTAATGGGACTCATCGCTCGAGTTCGTTTGGTTTGTTTGACCTTGAGAAAGCACCGAGGCGCATTGAGCAAGTCGATCCTGAGTCCGGCGGGAAACAAGGCTCCATCTCGTGAAAGCGCGATTGGCCAGTCCCCTTCGCGTCCCAACCAATGATCAGCCAGCTCGATCTACGACTGGTTGATTCCTGTGTCGCAGCAAGGACCAGAGAGTGGTGGTGGAGTTTTGGTCCAGACAGCACGGAATTCGATGTAGCGTCTCGACTATAGCCAAGCAAGATAAAAGAGTCCTGCTAGCTATATAATCCCCCCCCTAATCATCCCCACTTTGTTTCCTGCATATATATATGGCAATCCCCACCAAAGTATCCACGAGTCTCCGCTGCAAAATTTCGCTACTGACGTATCATAGACCTGAACCCTTGTTCCAGAAAGCCAGCCAGTTCCGCGAATCGAAATCCCCCCACTTCACAGAGTTGGTAACACTGGCGCGACTCGTAGGAAAGATCCCGCGCGAATTCTGATTTCGCAATTCGAGCGCGCGCGGGAGTCGTCGCCATGTGGAGCCGTGGGGGAGGCACGAGGGGTATCCCAGAGGTGGACTCACGATCACGTGGTACGCGAACCATCGACCGATGCAAGATTTCGCCGAGAATGACGTCGCCGTGGCGCACGGGCACTGCGACGCGAAATGCTCCGGCGGCAACTCTCGAATAACTGGCTCTGCCCCCCAAGGACGACGTCCCCGACGGCCAGGCTGCACAAGGATTGCGGCCACAAAGCTCACGGCGTCAATTCGCTCGCTGCCATCAAACGGCTCTATTTATACATTATTCAACGCAAAGGCCGAAAACTCTCGTTGGTAATTCAGCACGATGCACTATAGCCGGGTAGCAACGAGTCGATGCGATTTGCGACAAATGCCAATCGGACCGTTCCTTTCCGCGAGAAATTTCCTCGTATCGATTGCACGCCGATGCGCCACCTCTCAAAAAGTTAAGAAAAATACACGCCTATGAATCTACCTTGAATTTCGTAACCCTTTTGCTTCGACAGCGCAATGTCCCGTATCCCACCCTCCTGGCTCTTCTATTCCATTGATAGTTAGAAATCGGAAGCAAAAAAAAACATACAGCAGCTGCTGCCAGCTGCACGTTCCATGTCCACAGGTATTCACGTAACCATGCACCGATGAATTTCAGGCCTCCTGATATTCGAATAGCCGTGACGCGTTCGTGCGTCGTGTTAATAGAGATCGATGACTAGGACTCTTTGAAGTTTCTTTGTAGAAGAACCCGGCGTTGGACGGACTCGCCTTATTTTCACAAGAGTGAAAAGGTTTAAGAAGTCTTCCTCCGGTCTCCCCGCACCTTCGCGACTTCCACGTGAATTCCGCGAAAGCCTTTTAACGACTATTAGTATTTAAATTAGGCATAGAGAGTCGATCCTGTATACGCCCCAAGATCGCACCGGGATACCTATTTCATCATATAGGAAATTACAAGTTGTCAAAATCTTTCGCATCGAGTCGAAGAGTCCCAAAAAATAAATGTGAAAAACAGAAAAAAAATATCTCGTGAATTGGAAACACGTGTAAATTGGGCGGAACTTGTCGCAAAGAACTACGAAGTACACGGATAATCGGCCTCGGTTAAACACGACCTGTACGACGTAGCCAACGTAGTGCAATATAATCCGAAGGGCCAGAAACTGTATTTCTAAGGAAATCCTCGTCTGTTTAACTAAGACCCAAAGTGAATTTATTATATTTGCCGAGGTACCAAGTCAGGATAATGGGGTCTTATCTAAATGATATATGCCTGCCTGTTCTTATATTCAGGTACAAATATACCTTCGTCCTCTGTCAGGGACTTGCCATTACAATCCTGATCTGTAGTTCTCCAAGGTACTATGGTGACATCCTCTGTCTCGTTATTGGGCCTCATTAGCCGGTTACCTTCCTGGGGATCCTGGTGTACATACCTGTGGCTCCCGTGATCGTGCTCGATCCTTCATTTACGAACCTCGTCCTTACACCCTAAAGTTTCGAGCCTACGTACCAAGGACAGGGGTACCGACAGTCACCTAGAGATTTTACCGCTCGAGGAAGACACTTCATTGAGCAGCGATAAGCCGGAACGGGCCTTAGTACGATGAATGAATGTTGGTGGTGCCGAAAGAGCCACTCAGGTAAGGTTATCTAAGTGCCGTCACTCAAGATTACAGCTAGCAGCCGGTTTTATCTGGAAACTAGCGCCGGCTTAATTTTATTTGTGCCTTATCTAGCCAGTAAGGCCCCATTTGGTATCGCGTTGCTCTTAATTACGGCTATTTACTACCACGCAAGTGCACTTGCCGGTATGACGACACCTGTTGCTGCACAATATACAATGCAAGTACCATTGTCCTACAGCAGTCCCATAATGTTAATACAATAGCATCTAATATTATTCAAATCCAAGCAGTGACGACGTCCAAGTGAACTGCGACCTTGCAGAGATTATTCCTCCTGATAGCCAATGGGAGAGCGTCACCTTGCAAACCCGAGTCAAAGTGTTACGAGCGGCTCGAAAAGTCCATATATATACACATGCAAAAGTGAGACGAAAAATACAAACACCATCTTTCTCCTTGATCAATGTAGACACGAAATAATATCCTTGCACAACTTTCCGTGACACTTAGATCGAAAGACAGAGATAATAATTGTAGGAATCTTCTACTGTTCATCTCGTGCAAAGCGGTTACGCTGAAAAAAAGAACACGTTCGTTGATCACACCCGATATAACGGGTCCCGCTGAGAATGGGGATAGTCTCGTAGATCCAGTTCGTCTTGAAAATAAAAAGACCATCCGGATAATCCGGAAGGGTCTCGTTACGAGACGCTTGTAACTTAGAGATTGAACGACGTCAGAGTGAGTAATACGAGAGTAAAATGTCTAATGGAGGGCTAACAGCGAGTAAACGTTGGTATAAGGTATCAAGGACACCTAGACACCGATCGATGCTGCCAGCCAATGCCGGGGAGTAGGTCGTGCACGCCATAAGCGTGAGTGTTGTCTAGGTCGCGCTAGGTGGAGCCCATCCGAGTTTATATGTATATCGAGGTGAGATAGGTGCGATAGAATTGCCAGACGTATCCGACGGACGTCGGTACAGTCAAGCAATTCGGGTTGGAGAGCGTATAGAGCGACAATGCAGGAGCTCTGAAGACAGGAGACAATGAAAAGAAGGCGGCGTCATAGTCACAGAGGGGAAATAAAAATAGAAAAGGAGAATAAAAAAAAGGGTTATAGCAAATTAACGACGCGATGACGAAGAAGCCCGTAAATCTCGTCGGCAGTGGCGGCCGATCGGGATCTACTGCGGAAGGCGAGATGGACGCAGCGAGCGCAGCGAGAGAACCAGGCGACCTGTTGCCAGGGAGGCCTTAAAAGTAAACAACGTTACGTCACCAGGGCCGTCTAGACGTCAGGCCCCGGCTCGCTCGAGATGCACGAGAGCGCGCCAATGCCCAGCGGTAGCTGTAACGCGGCGGGTGTCAAACGGCCGTGCGTCCCGACGGGTAGGGATTCCTCGAACGTTATCCAGGTCGACGAAGAGGTGTACCAGGAGCGACGACGACAGAGGAGGTAATAAAACACAGGGGAGGAAGAGGAACAGAGGAAACGTTCGTACGCGTGGTCGGAGACGGAGCAAGAGGCCCAGCTTGGGGCGCACTGGTTTCGGGTCTCGGTATAATAATCATAGTTGGCGGTCGGTCGCGGATCTCCTGTGCTGCATAGCAACAAGCGGCGCTCGCCGAGAGTCGGGGAGAGGCAAGAAAGCAGGAGCGAGATGAGAGGTGAGGAGCGGGGAGCAGATTGAGAGAGAGAGAGAGAGAGAGAGAGAGGAGAGAGGGAGGAACGGTTCGGGTAAAGGCCTGCCGGCCAGGCAACATTCGGCTGCTGTCTAGACGATCTAATACGCAGCGGCTCTCTGACGCTCCACCCGCTTAGGCTTCCATGCCGACATAACATAACCTTTCTTTCCTTGCTCCTTCTACATTCGAAAATCGTATGTTATCTTGAGCCACTTTCTTCTCTTTTAGCTGCATCGACGTCATCGCCGCTACCAACCGAGCGTGATTAGGGACGCCTGGTATCGTTCGGTAGGGCTCACCTTAACCGCGACGATATTGAGGACCGACGGCGGTTGACAGCTGTCAACAAAAACAGACGCACGTGTCGGTACGCCGATCCCGTCGCTATACCGATAAGGCTTATGACTTTCTTTCTCTAGCTCTGCTCATCCCCCTTCGTGACCAACCTCACCGTTTGCTCAGCTGAACGGAATTGACTTGTGCACCTGGACGGTGGTGACCGTGTCGCTGACGTAAGACTGCTGGAAGTGACTGATCGAATTTACAAAAGAATGATAAACCAATAAATTCTACCGAGACGAAAATTCTCTCTGTATACTTGGACTCTACTTTGTATACTAGCTTGCCAGCGGGGACTGGTATACACGGCCGACGACCGGATGCCGAAGGATGTTTGCCCATACCTATCAAGGGACTCTTTTGGGTCGGCTCCACGGCGAGAGATGCCAGGGCGGAGAGCGTGAAAGAATTTCAGAGCCAGGAGGAACACACTCTCTCTCCGACCCTGTGTGTATTCCTTCCTCTCCAGCCGTGAACCGGCGTCCATTCAAGAGGAGTATCTCCGAAAGGGTTCGGAACCCTAAAAGAGTCCGAGACAGAGAAAGAGGCTGCGCAGGGGATAAGGAGGGAAGAAACAGAGATACGAGACGAGGAAAGTATGTACTAGTCATTCGAGTAACGTTTTAGGAATACTCAATGACGTGTGTGTCTACATAATCATTAGACCTGGTAATACTAAGAAGCATGGAAATATGTGACAGATTCCGGTACAACTCGCGTCAAAATTTCGAGCGAATACGAGGTGGGTACTTTTGGGTCGTTGATAAGGCAAAAACAAAATTTTTCAGATGAACGTTCATCCTTTGGACTGTCGCAGCTGCCGACGTGGTTTATCGTGTACAAGGAGGCGATGGTAGGTTACTCTCACTTCCCTCCACTTCATTTACTCTCTAGCTATCCTTTCGACCCTATCGACTTCTCTCTCTCTCTCTCTCTCTCTCTCTCTCTCTCTCTCTCTCTCTCTCTCTTATTCTCGCCAACTCTCGTACCGCCGCACTCCCACGTCGTGTTGGGTTACTATCTCGTTAGACGCCACGGTCGGGGATTCAAAAGTAAAGCCCAAGGGATAGGGGCAGCTGTTGTGCATTCCTTCCGTCCCTATCTCTCTTTTTCCCGTCCTTATCCCTCTCCTCCCTTCCACCTCGCCGTACGCCTCTGCTACACCACACAAAGAAGAGACGATTCCGTCTCCTTCAATTTCCACTCCTTTCACTCGCTGCTTCAGCCCTCGTGCATCTCGGCGCGGGCTTCTCGTCACGATGCGAATTGAAACGTGCGTCTATTCCGCATTCGCTCGAAATAACTAACACCATTGCGTTAGAGTTGATCTCGCATTTCCTATGCGTCGCAGCCACTATCAGCTAATCACGTCGTATACCAAGAAGAGCAAGTCGAGCAGGTTAAATTACTTGGGCAAAGCGGTTCCGCCGGTGAACAATAATAAGTACGTGGACGCGGAGAGTCATTGCGAAGAAATGAATTTAGATATGCGAATAAAAAAAAAAATATTTTATACACATGAAACAAGAAAAAAGGTTCTCGAGAAAAAAGTTTTAGTTTATTAAAAAATTTTCAAAAAAAAAAAAATTATGAAAATTGGGTACTTGCGTGGGCGATACAAGTGGGTAGTTGAAGTAAAAAAGTTTCCAGCCCATCTCGTACCACGTTAGATAAAATCCTTACGGATCATCAGAGGCTGGCAGTGAATTGATATCTCCACCGGAAGTAGCCGATCCTCAAGCAGCGACGTTCATTCCGACGCCTTCGGGCCCCAAGCCACGACCCAGTGGAATAATCAATAGACGATGGGCATTAGAATATAGGAGTGACATAGGCAACCCCTGGGTGCCTTCTGAGACAGTACCTGATCGCGCATATTTTATCCCTCACCGTACAACGTCCCCTCTGGTACGGCGTCGCGACGTCAGCGATCACAATTTTCGCCGGGTTCGAGAAATAATTTTGTCAATCTTTACCGAGCACAAAGAACGAAGAAGACGGGGTTTCCGCGTATCCTCAGCGAAGCGTGTCGCGCTTCCTTCGCCGTAGATAACGGCTCTGAGGTTCCGGTCGGTTGAGAGAAGAAGGAAAAAAAAGCCGCTGGAATGAACGAGGAATTAAAATAAAAAGCCAACAGAGAAAAGGAGGATACCGTTCCGGAAGAAGGTCAACTGCCGTCCGCAAACGAGCTAACCGTGCCACGTGGCCGGTTCTCTCACGTGTTACCACGTGAACACACGTATTCCCCCAACGACCATCCAGTTTTCCTACGTTGTCGCTCTTGCGAATTACCGGGAAACGGAAATACTGGTAAAGAATATAAAGGCGCCCGGCTCGCGCCACTTACCCGTGATAAATTCGAGAACGAGAGACTTGGTCATTCGGTAATACCTATAGCTGTTTCTTTATTCGTATATATATATATATATATATACATATATATACCGTACTGCGGTACGTTAGTGGGGCCCTTTGCATTCCAACACGGGAGAATAATACATAAGGGACCCTGATCAGGTTCTAAGATTTTTACGAGCGGGCGGCTAAGGGATTCTCCGGTATACCAATGGGTAGTTCTGCGCCAGTCTGAGCCAGCGTACTGTTCCAGTGTGCAACCGTACGTAAGGCGCAGGTCAAGCTTAGCGAGAATGAAAGAAGGGATTATTCGAAAGGAGACAATAATTGCTTGTTGAACAGAGTGAAAAAAAATTGCCAAGTTCCTGCCGTACACGAACCACACCAGAGACAGACCAATAGAATTCTCATGCGAACTTTAAGTATTCGAAATGCCATCTCAAACATTCATTAGCATCGTGAACGGCGCTGAACTCATGGAGTCCTATGTTCGTTCTCGGAATTAGAGTCGCGGGGGATGCAGAGGTTTCCAGTTCGAATTCTTTGTTCCGTTTCTCTCGTTCCGTTTCACGGGACGCCGTAGCCACCACTTCCACGGCCGCCATGGCGCGCGCTACGTAAACAGTCCTGACTATATTATTTTATTTGAGTTAAATCCACAGTACGTACGCCGGGCATGACCAACGAAAACCCTGAAAGCCCGAAAGGACAGAGGACACTGTCAGCCGTACGGATGAAACGTGTCCGATACGGTATACATTTTTCCTGTGTTATTCTCCAATGCCGTTTGAGAAACTTCTTTCTCCATACTGATACACGGTGGACACGAATAATACAATAAGAAATTCTAGAGAGACTCGACGGATGGTGTAAATTGAAAAACGAATGTATCTCTCCATCAGCGGTGCAACCGTTAAAATAAAAAAAAAAGAACGCTCCTACACCAGGAAGGGGCACACCTGCCGACCTGAATGTCCTGTCACGAAGAGGGTTGTACCTGGGGAACCCGGCTTTAAAATGTTTCCCTTGGCATATACAGAATGCATCGGTAGACCCAGGAAGGAACTGAGTTTACTCGAGGCTTTGGGTATAATCCTAGCTGGCGACTACTATGTATCGAGACGATAAATACAACGTCCGGCGGCGGCGTCGTTCTCGGGAACGTTCTTTCTCGTAAATATGTACACAGCGTATATAGATATGAGAATGGGTGAAAAAGAAGTCAGTCCGTCGAACCTGAAGTGCCTGGAAATGAAATTCAGTGGTCGAGTTGACGATTATAGAAATATCTGAGACATCCGATATATATGGTAGTGCTATTAAGGATATGTTCTTCTCGGGCAGCGGCCTGAAGAGCTACAAAGGCTCTCGAAAACGCATGGAACGTCCAGCACCTGCCTTCTACCTTCAGCATCGCTCCCTACCTACCAATCCACCTAACAACCTTCCTACCTACCCGAGTCCTGTAACGAAGGGTTGTTACCACCAGCCGGCGCTCGTTACGCGCATACCAGTCTTACAGTTTGTATCCGAGCTGAATATCCAGCATGTGCACGCATGCATACCTCGCCATATGCCGAAGACAATAAAAATGGCGGGTTACAGAGCGTGGGTATAAAGATACCTAGATAAGAAAAAAAGATTAAAAGATTACGGTTCTAGGTTACCTAGTAGAACGATATAAAATTCCTGTCAACTGAGAGCTCTTCTGCGAATCGCACGAGGACGGTTTCCTACGTGAGAACACGATAAGGCTATGTTCCCGCAGGATATCACTGGATGGGACTCTCCAGCTGTACCGACTTTCAGGGCCGTATTATTAGGGTTTTGATTAATGCGACATTTTTATTCGTCTTGACAGTTGGTGTCACGCATGACAAAACACGGGCTGTCCTACCTTCTGCAGGAAAGGGTCACTCTGTACAGTTCGCAAGTGATAAGACCGTGTAAAATTCAAATAATAGACCGGAAGCTGTACTCTTGCAAGTGACCCTCTATTCCACTAATAGAGTCCCGTCTTAACCGAAAAAAAAATGCTGCTCATATATGAAATCCTCATGCGGTTAACCGTAAGGAACAATAGTGACGCTCAGTCGTGAAATTATGTTATAATAAAAGTCTAGATAGATTTCCTTTCTCACAGTGGTTGACCGGGTACTCAAGAGTGACTCGGCTACCTCACTGACGGGGTCCGGTTATCCTATCAAAATCCTCTGCACCTGTCCTCCTCCCTGGTCGAACCATCGACGACTAACCGGCCCGGACCGCATTCTAGCGTGCATCCGAATTCATTTTTACATGAGGTCTACAGAAAAAGGGACTTTGTGACTGGTATCCGTAAGAGACAGGAAACCGACGACGAGAAAGGGCAGGAAAGGGCCGTTAAAGATTTATCGAATCAACCGTCTAGATAGCCCAGGGAACGAACGAGTATCCAAGTATAAAAAAAAACTTAAGGAGTCCTTCCTTCCGCTCTTGGCGACAATATTAACGAACCTGAGCGACAGGGGCGTTACGCTTACTCGGGCCACTTTTCGAACCCAGTCAGGAGTCCATTTTCTCTTTTTTGTAGCTTCGATACAACCACATGAGGAATTATAAAGAAAAAAAGTTCTTCGACTCCAAGGAGCCTGGTGCTCGAATGATTTCTCAAGATACGCTTTCTGGTGCGGGTAGCGTGATGATGAGTTGGCTGTCCGTGGGGTTAGAGTTATAAAGAATGGACATATGCCGCCGGATGGTGAAGAAGAAACAAATGAAAAAGAATGACGAGTCGACCAGACTTGGGTACATTAAACGGAGCTTAGCCATGCTCAGTGACGTAATGCGTTTAACGAAGAATCGAAAGAGGTGACATGCCTCGTATAAATGAGATAACGATTCGCACCGTGTAATCTGAGTGACTGTTTTTTTTAATGTATATTTATGTATCTAGCGATACTGGTTTAAACTATCGTGGATTTTATATGTAATACGCGAGTCAAATGATATGATTAAAACAAGAAAATGCATTCACTTTACCGTGCTGAATGAAAGTTTGTCTCTAGGGGAGAGAAAGAGACAGGGACAATGACGTAATTCATTCTGCAGTATGTTAAGATCGTGAGAAGCTTGGTAGCAGCATCTGAGAAAATAGCTGTACTTTGCCAATTTCTATGGCGGCGCTATGTCATCAAGCGGTCACTAGTCAATTGATGTGAAATTAAGTTGACAATTAACAATGTAGAATCGAGGCGGAATACTCCGTTTGAATTGTCCGCTTATTGACAGCAATTAACTCTACGGTATTGTGAGACCCGCCTTTTAATTCGTTTGTTCCATTTTTATTCACGCCCTTGTCATATGGCATTCTGATCCTTTTTTTTATTTACAAGACATTGCATTCTGTAAGACTATTCGAGATGGTTCGAGGTCGTCTCTAGTCGAGTGCATAATAGAAAGTATGATGAATTTCAATTTGGCAACTATTATACTGAGAAATATAAGCAATGGCGGATTCACGTTGCGATGAGATTATTCATATTATAACCAGACAGGGGATTTGATCTAAGGTTAACGGGTGAGTCAAGACATAAGGTATAATTATGGCTTTGAATTAAATGATGTAATTTTATATACAAGAAAAAAAATTCACGCTGTGGTTTCGAACGGTTATCGGGTTGTTTTTTTTACTGGCAAAAACATTTTCGGAATATAACGTACTGTAATTATTATACAATTAAGTGAAATCTAATCCTTATACCTGTCGGCTGATAGCTATATACATGCAATGTGAGATGTAAGCTGCGAATACGACTCCCTGAGAAGAAAACAGATTATTATCGTGTTCGTGTCTTTAGTTCTTAAGTCGGGTCGCGCGCGCCAATTGCAAACAGTTCGCCACTTTGTTTCCCAGTGGGATAAATGGAGTCGGATTCAGAGGATGATGCTATTACGATATAAACTGTTTTCCATGTAGGATGGTCAAACTTAATGCTAATGTACGCTTTATCGCTTTGTCTGTGACTGCATGAAATGTCTTTGGCGCATATAATTGAGCCCAATTATACCACATAAAGAAATGTAAAAGCGCGCTGGATAGTAGCTCGCGTAGTCGAGAGGAGTGAATGAAATAAAAGACTCACCTTAACGAACGAATGGAATTTGACCTTGCTGGGTGATACTGGAGGACTGTTGGGTGGTCTTCGTGTTGGTGGTACTTGGAGCAAATTTTGAACCTCAAGGAGATAGCCTTTCCTTGCATATCTACTCTTGGGACTTGTTTGGATATCACTTTCCATCTTCGCTTTTCTGAACAGCTTTAAATTTTCCTTAGCACTTTGCCTGAGTATTATGTGGCTCAGTCTTCTGGTGTTGGCTCTTGAGTCATTTGCACAAATTCGCCTCCACGCTTTTGACACCATACTGATAGAGCAAAGATCCTGCGGGCTGAGCAGAGCTAGAATTTTAGATACTATCCTCCAGTGATCACTTTTCTCCCCTAATAATAATAAAACATCCACAGTATCCTTGCCAGTATAATCAGGGGTTGCTCTAGTCCTGTGTAAAGCTACGGAGAGGGCACGTTGGCTAAAGTCCAGTCTCTTAGGTTTGATGTCTGTTGTAGCTAAGTCAGTGATCATAAGCTTGCTAAGTTTTTTATTGTCCGCTGATGTTACACCAAGACTAGCTTTGCTGGTGGTTGGAGAGAAAGTTATCCTTGGCGGAGGAGTACTACGTCTTGGTGAGGAGGTTACATGAGGCGTACTTTGAGGGACAATGACTAGCTTCATTTCCACATCTTCCTCAATCGGTTCGGATGCGATAAACGATGAGGACGGTACTGCTGGCGATGGCGGAGGCGAGAGTAGTTGTAATCTTGAGGCAGGAGTGATAGGAGCTGTTGTACATGAATCCCTGCGTATTGCCCTCCTGAGTTCCCTAAAGTCTCGGAGGTCAGAACTGAGATTTTGGCTCTCCAAGGCCAGGTCATGCTGGTCCAAGCTTGAGCTCTGGTGTTCACAGCTCTGTACAGATGATTTAAGAATAGGACTGTGTATCTCAGCACTTTCATCGATAAGAGAATCACACACAGACTCTGATGTATTCAGTAAACGAGACAATCTTGAACGATATCGTGGACTGCAAATTGATTGCCATGGATCTGTGCGAATCCGATGATGTCTTTTGCTGGAGGTACACGACACGCGCCCTCGACATCCTGATACTATCGGAGTGTAGGCACCAGAATGCGGCGTTAGAGTAAGATAGCCACTATCAGCACTATCATAGGAACTGCGAGAGCTACGGTTACTCGAGTTTATCACACCGTGCGGCGTCTCGCTAATTTTCGTGCTCTGCTCCACCTCTTCCATTTCGCCTAGGCTGATGTAACTCAGTGTTAAATCACTTGGCGAAACGCGCCAAAAGGAACTATCTCTCGCGATGCTCGTCCTCCAATTTCGATAAAACCACCATGTTATCAGAGATAACGCTCTATGATATTAAATCAGAGCAATATATTTCACGGCCGTGCTTTGTTGACGTTTCGTAGCCTTTAGGGTAGTGCGCATCCGATCCACCGCTAGGTTACGGTAGAATATCTCAATCTAACTACGCAGGATAATTTTCCCGCAATCTATACGATGGTAAATCATTGTTTTTCAATATATAAATCCCATTCGATATCTATATCACCGTGTTTGAGCGTCACACAACGTCGCGCTCTCAAGATGTTCCTATGAAAAACCACCCCTAGCTCCCAGCATCCAATGCGGTCCATAAACAAAAGCCGGCTATCACGTTCGAAGGACGCGAACAACGCGCAGTATAGCACTAATTTCGTCGCGGCAGGATTACAGACTCCCTTCACGACACTACACGACACTCGACACTAATTATTTCCAACAGAAATTAACACTTAACGTCAATTATTGACACGGGACGAACTACAAGACCATAAATACGCGCACGCGGGCACTAACTCTCCCTCTGCGTGCCCCTGTGCTGCAGACACTTCAAAACTTTGAAAACTGTTTATCCGTTGTCCTACCGAGGATAGCTCGAGATTCGACTAGCCAATGGCAACGGTTGTCTTATCCCGCCGACGGATGCGGGCTACACCCATTGGTCAGGAGCTTTCAATGAAATCAGGATGGTGCTGCCTCTATCGGTGGTACTGGAAACAAATTGATTGTGTTGCTGGGGAAACTTTCTCAGATTTAGTTTCTCTATTGGAGAAGCGCATGCGCACGTGCTCGAGCTTGCAATTTCAAAAGAAATTCTTCTCTTGTATTTAATATCGAGCAATAATAGGATTCACGTTAAATGCTCTATGTTGTACCTGATAAAATATACTAGTTCATTCAAGTTAGCAACTAATAAAGTATGTTCTCTGTTGTTATTATGCCAATTATACTGGCGGGGTTGTTACGAAGCTGAGTGGGAAGTGGGATTGGCGGACGACGTGATGTTAACAAATGTCCTGCTGAAATCCGGTGATACTTTTAGTGACAGCGAGGATATTGTGTAGCTACATTTTTTTTCCAAAATAGATAATATCTATTTGCGATATGGAATCCAGCAAGGCGGAATCTGCTCCAAAGCAAGCTATGGTGTATATTTGTGGTGGTATGTAGATTTTATTATGAATTATTTGAATTCTTAAATGTATAACCTCACTTTGTTAAACATAAATTGGTTACATACATATTAATTATACGATACTAACAATAGAAGTGTTGTTATTCTGATACCTTTTGCAGAATGTCATCATGACAATGAAATTCGACCGAGGGATCCGATCAGATGCCGAGAATGTGGATACAGAATTATGTACAAGAAGCGTTCCAAGCGTCGTATCCTTTTTCAGTAATTAATAGCAATTAATATATTTAATGCTTTATTTGTCTATCTTCTTGAAATGTTTCCTTAATGAAAAATATCAGTGGTGGTTTTTGATGCTCGATGAATTGGTACAACGAATGATGTGCAGCAATGGCACGAAACTCTAGGTACAATAATTACTGATTACGGTTGTTATATTTAATTATTTTTATCATGATGGTACTTCTTTGTAATACATACAATATATTACATTTATAAAGACTCGATATCATTTTTAATTTCTCTGATTTTAACTCTTGCCTAAGTCATTGTATCAATATAATTATGATGAAATAAATACAATATCAATTAATGTTTTTAGGCAATATATTTGTTTTATTTACAATAAATAAATTACATTTTTGTCAATAGTTCAACAGAGTTGCAGAATTAGGAAGAAAACTGACAGCAGCACTGGCAAAGTGTTGGCAATCTATGGTTGATAAAATTTGATACTATTTTAAATATACGCTTATAAAATCTTACTCCGGTCCCATTATGTGATATTTATTGGCAAAAGCCATTTTGGTTCCAATGAAAAGTATTTTCCATGATAGATTTCCCTTCTTAAACCTAAAGTGATTCGATGATGTTCCAAACGATTACAAAGTTGTTCGATAATAGTATCGTAAAGTTGATTGGACCAAAGAGTTGGCCCAATTGTTGGTAAATTTTTATAAAATTCTAAGTCTCTAAATCATTTATGGTATACATATAAAATACTATTTTTACCAACAATTTGTAAGTGTTAGTGTCGGAAGGTATATAAAATTTAAATCATTCATAAAAATAGTCAGATGACATTAAATATTTTGCCCTGTATAGAAATTCTCCATAAACTAAGCTGATGAAAACTGATGATAAAAGTGGGCTGTGCATACAAAGTGACATTAGTAGTTTTTAAATGGAACAAGGAGGTCCTTGTTTTGTCACAGAGTTTTTTTCCTAATACTGAGTCTGGAAGCAGCCAAGTCAAGCTGTATTTAAGAAAATTTTAAACGAAATCAAGAAAAAATCAAATATGACAGACCAGATCATATTTCAGTTGACACAGTAACCATATGAATTTACAAAAAGAAGAACAAAGTCAAATTCGAACCGGCAATCAGAAAATTCTTTATGATATGTGAATGTCGTTCGTTCATAAATACAATCGAAAGATATAATATTTCTACTGCAAAAGGACACCGTTTCGAAAATATCTCGCTGAAAGTTAGTCTCGACATTATAAAAAAATATACATTTTTTTCCGACGTTTCCATAGAAACCATATATCGACATATATATGTGTATATTAGATGTAAATTTATGCTATGCATAAATATATGTATAATATATAACACGAGTAGCATTAGAGCGTTTGCCGGTATCGAAAAAGATACTGAATCAAAAATAAAAGAGTTGACTTGGCATTCTGGACACACACGCACAGTTACACTTACACATCTTTGGAAGCTCATACATAGTTTGTAGGGGTGGTGCATTTTTTTTTTGGATTTCGATAGAACTATAATATATGTATACACCGAATGCTACTTTTTTTTTCATTAAACGCTACGCTACACTGATATCGTTTGGCAACAATCTCCTTCTTCGGACCTCGTTGTATTCATTTGTGCGGTCATCCTGCGATCTATTAAATTTTTTTCTCTCTATTTTTCCTTCAACTGATCGTCCTTCGAGCGCATCTAGGTATAAATTACGATTATTCTGAATAACGCCATTAGTATATTCGTATCTTCATACCTTGTCACTAATTATGACTATTTTCATTTTTATCTGTTTTACTGATTATACTAATTTTGAAATAGACACAGTGCGCACCCGACGGAGGACCATATAGAAAACTCGTCACGCGAGACAGATATTTTATAATTAACAATTAGTGTTTAGCTGTCATTTATGGAAGGTATGCTGCTTCGTAAATGTTTCGATTAAAACAGAATAAATGAATCGATCATATGAGTTAATGTGGTGACGATTGCGAGTACTCGCTTGCAATAATTAAATATTCTCCCAGGAATCATTAATCAGATGATCGATTATTCTGCAGAGTCATTGTGAAGATCCATTACCGCATCTGCGATTTACTTAAAAATTATCATATAATTCTAATATGATTCCGTAATTATTATATATAAATATATACAAACACATTTTCTCTCTCTTTCTCTCTCGTATCAACAATAATGGCTTAGTGCTCAGTTAATATCATACAAAACAAACATACACCATATCCGGTATTCCTCTTTTATATACCTATAGCAATTAATTAATTGATAGTAGTAATAATTTGTAATATTACAATACTCTTCAAGGTTGCACGCAACATTTGCACTTTAAATACAGAATCACATACCAGTCCATTGCACCTTAGACTACTAATTAAAATAATCGTATATAAATATTGTATTCGTTACTGGTTAACAGAGCTGTACGTTCTTTTTTAAATTTTTCATTATGCGCATCGCGAATACGAAATCAACCGTAAAAAACGATCATGAAAAATCCCTTGGCAATTGGTTTCATTTCGAAAACAGACTTTTGGTATGTCGTATCATCCCCAGCAGAGAACAATTGCCCGAGCGTCAAAAGGATACAGTAAGATGGAAAAACATAGAAGAAAGAGTTCGAATTAAATGCTAGTAAAGAGTGAATCAGTTATCGCGACTACCAAAAGCCTAGGACTGTACGTCATCACACATACAGGGTTTCCTTGGCTCCATGGAACAAAACCTTTTAGGAGTTATCATTCCAAATTTGACTCTGGATAATTTTGGCACTACGTATCGTCGACCTTCTGTCTGCTGTGCTCATCCGTAGTTGGTACAGTCTCATCTGTCAGCCTCTTCTGAATGTTTTCATTGTCTCGGACGTCAGTAACGCTCCCACTGCCATGATTATTAGCGACTGCGTCCGCGTCGATGTTGTGCTCGACGAAACAATGTACCTGAAGTTCGTTCACGGTTCGCATGGATGCCGTACACAGCTGACAATTGTAGCACTGACTGTGAGAGGATAATTCCTCGGCTCTTACCTCATCCGCTAACGATCTGCTAGGTGGATTCTGCCTCTCCTTCAAGGAGTAATCCGTCCTTGGCTGGCTGAATTGTGGATTTGCGTGCCTGATGTCGTTCATAGACTTGGACTCCTCACTGACGAGGATTGGCATGTGGTATCCACGTGGAACATCATTCTCGGATGACATCTGAGGAGGATACTGATGCATCGGATGAGGCGGAATTGGCTCACCCTCGTCTGAGGATGTTTCACCGCCACTGGCACCCTGGTTTGGAATCATTTCTGCATCCCATTGTCCCATCTTAGTGGGATCCTTCTCATAAAGCTTTTGAGCCAGAATCTGGAGATTTATTATATTATTATTTAGTGTATGTTAGGGTTGATTAGTTATCAATGTAGGTGATTATATTTACCTGAAGACTAGTTAGACTATTATCACAGTCGGTAGTGTCTATGTCGTTTAGATTGACACCTGACCTTTCCATCTCAGCATATGTGCCAAATGGCAGTTTACCCAAGCATTCCAGTTTCATTATGTGCATTTTACTTCGGAGATGCTTGGCCAGGTGGCCGTGTATCCTGAAGGCTATCTTACAGTCTGTACATTTGAAAGGCCTGGGATTACTCGTCGTGGCAGCTCCGAAGGTAGACGTCATGCTGACCTAATGGACAAAAAAGAATAAGTATAACAATCGATCTTTCTTTATTGATAGTATCAAGTAACTTTTATATAATCCATGTGAGATTTTACCTTGTTGTGATGAGAGACTGATCGCTCGTGCTTTGTTAAGTGTCCTTTTGTTCTAAAGGAGACAGCACAACTCTCGCATCTAAATGGTCGCTCAAAATAATGAATGTTGATGTGCAACCTTAGTTGACTAGGCTTGCTGAACACCTTGTTACAGATACCGCAGACACTACGGCCATCTTCAGTGACACTGTAACTACATTACATGGACTCAGTTCTTAAAGTAAAATCAATAACGTCGGCTGTGGCTGTTAAGCTAGAACTTATAACTCTACAGCGTGAGAAAATAAGATGATTAATATTTGTATTGATCGATTCTCACCTAACATAATTTGGAGCTGGTCCACTAGATGGTTGCAAGAATTCCGCCTGCGGTTTTGAACTCCCTGGTGGAGACGGAGATCGAAATCCTGGACCACCTACAACCATTTTTCTCGCCACCGAGTGCTTTATATTCTCAGATATATTCTGCTTGGGCATCTCAATGCTATGCTTGACGTCGATCCTTTCAGCATTCCTGGTATCAACATTATGTGACCGTGGGCTATCCTGGTGCTTAGCCGAATCGTGAATCCCGGATTGCATTGGTTCGAAATTCGGTCTGGCTTCCTGTGGTTGGGATCTGAATTCCGCGAGTAATCTCGTATCTCTACTAGGCGGTCTGGAGTCCGAGTTCAATTGTCGCATCTCTGCCCCAGGTACTGGTGACAATTCCCTAGGTCGCAAATCCTGACCTAAAGGTTTGAATTCTTGACCGCTCGGCCTCAATTCTTGACCGGGCAGCTTGAATTCTTGAATAAGTGGTCTCAGCTCTCTACTAGGTGGTCTGTATTCCTGACTTGGTATCCTGGTCTCACGACTAGGCGGTCGCATGTCCTGGGAACGTGGACTGTGACTCTGGATTCGCAATTCTGTCGAAGGTGGTCTCATCTCGTGACTGGGCGGTCTAGGTTCCTGATTTGGCGTATGACTCTCACGTGGTCGTTCTATTTCACTCATCATTTTTATCGCGGTGAACATTGCACTTCTATCTATTTCGTTGATCGCATGCTGCGACCCTGGTGCCATCCTATTACTCATCTCCAGATTACAGTTCTTTGGAGATTGCCTTTCCACACTCGGTGTACTTCTGCTTGGTAATTCTAAAGAGAAGTTAGACCTCTCCATAGGGCTACTCTTATTCAAGCCCATAGGATAATCAGCATTGATTCGCACACCAGGACTGGTTAGTCTGCGTTCATAGTTATCGCGTTCCGTTATTAATCTACCAGAGATATCCTTATCTTTATGAATAGATTCAATGTCAAAAGGTCGCCTCTCAATAGTAGCATTATTCTGATAGATCTTTTCTCTGATCTCTAGTTTAATATCATCCAGAGTCTGCTTCGAGATGTTCTTTATCCTTGACTCCAAGATCGTGTGTTGCATCTTACTAGGATCTGTATAAGTAACAGTGGGTATACTATTCATCTCCATGTGTCTTGACCTTAACGAGTCCTGTTGTTTCAGGTACAAATCTCTTTCCATCGCGTGTTTATCCAACTTCGAATTTCCAACGCGGTACTGCTGTTTCATTTTACTGTCCATGACGTGCCTCTCGGTGAGATAAGCTTGTAGCATATGACCCTCTGCATCCTGCTTCCATTCTCTGCCCTGAATGGGTAATCTCTCCATAGTCTGGACCAAAGTTTGTAACAACACAGGTTCTGATACTGGTGTTATAATATCAGCAGATTTAGCTGGTTGGATTATCGGAGATGGAAGTGGCTGTGGAGTCTGTTTCGTGGTGAGATCTATAGGCTGTGGTAGCTGATGTCTAAACTCTGAACTCCTTACTTCCTCTAACTCCAAGTCGGAATCCTCTTTCTTGGAAGATTGTATAACACTAGATCTGGCTTCTTCAGGTACAGCACGAGTAGACGGGAAGTAATATCGATGAGAGAGTTCACTCTGGATTACTGCAGCTGCCTGACTACTCAAAGGGGCCGAATTCGTTCCACTAGTCACTATACTGGTAGTGGCGGAAGTTGTTGGTAAGGTCAAGGTATAGGGATATGTGGTTGGTCTTCCGGAAGGCAACAATCCCGGAAGCCTGTTTGAACTTCGCTGGGATAAACTCAAGAGGCTCTGAGCAGCTTCATGCTCCTCACTCCCGGACTCCTCGCTCTCCTCTCCGTCTGTCTCTTCCTCCTCTTCGGAAGATTCTTCTGCATTACCTCCACCAGCTGCCAATCGTGCTATCGCCTCCTTGTCGATGTTCTCATCGCACACGGATGTCGGAACAGGAACAACTCCAAGCTCTAAACACTTCTTATAGTGAGCTTTGGACTTCATATGCTTCGTGAGGTTCCCCTTCGTCTTAAAACTGCATCAATGAATAAACACAGTTAGAATTGAGATATAAAGTGAGCTTAACAACCTTTAATAAATTCTTGGTATATTTACCTAAAAGCGCAGTGCTTGCAGGTGTAAGGTCGAACGTCCGTATGAGTTCTGATATGTTTCTTCAGCATTGATGGTTTCTTACATCGAATGCCACACTCCTCGCATACATATCGACCTCGACCTCAAAAAATAAAAAATAAAAATTTAGATCTCGCGATTCATCCGTCTTCGCATTGAGATACTATACGAGTCTACATCTTCCTGGATAGTTTTGAAAACGATAATATTACACGGATTTTATGCACATCGGCGATTAGAAAGTCAAAGTTCAAAATTTAGAAAGGTCAATGAGTTCTCTGCATAACGGAAAAATATTGCTCGTCGAGTTTGACTGATTCCAAAGGAAAAAAAATATTGTGGCACGAAAACAGTTCATAAGTTGCATCATATCTCTATTAATCATGGGGTCGCATAAGGTAATAATGAAATTATACAGCTTGAGTATGAATTTTCGTCTCGGAATCCTGGGCACTTTGATAAATTTGAAAATTATCGAGCTCCCATTACGTCCAACGATATCAGATACCATAATTGAGGTTTGAGCTATATATTTTCTCCAAGTGAACAAGAGATCTAAAATAAAAGTTTTCCAACATTATACATTAATAACTGGCGGCTTACCTCTACCTCTTACGTAGGTATAATCCTCGTTGCTCTCGAAACCGCCATCGAAGATCTTCACCCTCTTAGCCTTCTCAGGTGTATCACTCTCCAGACCACTGTCAGGACTCGTGGGAGTAGTGGGCCTCTGTGAAGAATGCGTTAGGATGTCTTCCTGCTTCTTACAGGCGATGCTGTAGCTGAGAGGTCTATGTCTAGAGTCATAATGGGCCATGTCGAGGTCGGGTGGAGACTCCTTGCAAATCTTCCAGTTGGAGTACATGGAGAGACCATGCTGCTGCGAGACGTACATCGGCTGAGGTCTATTTAAGGTACAATAGAACACCCTAGTGGAACACTTGAGGCCCAGGTAGGTATAGGCGTGTCCGTTTAAATATAACTGGCCGTATGACTTCTTGGGCCTGGGCGTTTCAGGACTTATTAGAGGTAGCGTATTAGCCGTCGGAGTGATTCCGTGATGCCTCTTGGGTGTGAAGGTACCCGGCTTCAACGGCAGGGACGTGGGCCTTAAAAACTTAGTGTTAGTTTCCTCTTTAGCGCTCTCGCAACTTTTTGGCGACTTAGCTTCAGACTTGTCTGGCTTAACGACTAATTCTAGAGAAGTTTTGTTTGGCACTTCTGTCTTGGAAGAATCTAGATTCACAGTGATGACAGGCGTTACGGTATCAGCTCTTGGTTTTGCACCGTTCACCGTACCATAATTCTCTATTATCTTGGTCTTCCCTTCAGGAAGATTGACCTTCAATCTGCCATTTTCCTGCGGAGGTGGGTCGTACTTTGACACGGGACTGTGGCTCAGCGTCTCCACCGATGCTCTGCTCGACTCCAACTCCGTGACGTTCCAGTTCGATGATCGCTTTCTGCTTTCTGGTACCGTTTTCGGTGAGAATCTTGTTTTCCCATAAGAATTCACAGTATTAACAGAGCTATCCATCGCGCCATTTGAATAAACAAAAGCTTTATCCCCTTGAGGACTTTTTTCATAGCTAAACTCTCGTCTATCCCGTGGACTCTCGATTCCCTTATATTTCATGGCGACACTGTTCTTGATATGACGATCGAGCTCGGCCCGAGTCAACTCGCTGGTCATGGTCGTGGATAACCTTCCTCTGTATTTATCCGTCGGGGCATCCACCTTAACGTTAGGAACTTTGGGACTGGTCAGTCCACTTCTTAAGCCTTCGCTACTTGGAGTTTTAAAGCTGAGCTTAAAGTCCTTAGCAGGACTGGCGAGATCCAGTGGCTGTCCCAGGCTGGACATTTGCATGTTAGACAGTGGACCCGGGATCCCGGGTACGTTGGGAGTCTGAACTTTGACCGGACTAGCAAGATCCAGAGGTTGAGGAATCATATGAAGACCAGGTATACCAGGTATCACCTTGTACCCAGAGGAATCACCAGTGGCGATACTTGCGGATATGTCTACAGTTGGTGCTCCGGTCAGGGTATGTGGTCCTGGCATACCAGGCACGTACGGAATGACCTTACCACCGTGTAGTATACTAGTGATACCAGCCTGGGGTAAGGTCAGAGGATTATAGGCAGTGATGCTCGTCAAGGGATTTAAATGAGGCTCGAGATAATTGTAACACGTCATCCTAGGAGCTAAGTTAGGTGGTGATATGTTCGGCATGATGGGTGCCAGCATTGTACGAGTATTCGGCAGGGATATAGAGGAACTTGGAGTGCTCGCTGGTGTACCAGGTGGCTTGTGAACCATAGTACCACCCGAGTGAAGACCAGATCTTACTACAATGGATGCAGTAGCGGAAGTTGCGCACTTGCTGTTGACAATGTGCTCGTTTGGCGAGTTCGTTTGCCGGGGTTCAATCCTCATGGTCTTTGTTTCGCCAGTATTATCCAGTATCCTAACCTCACCGCCGAACATTTGCAATGAATTAGGTCTGGAGTGAATGTTCGTAATGAATTCCTCGAGTGACCGTAACGTAGTAGGCACCGTCTCGGATTTTTGTTTCTTGGTAGGCGGTGCGTAGGCGTCCACCAGCCTTGTGTTACCCAGAAGAGGTCCGGGTGAGGGTAGGGGTTGCAGGGTATTATAGTAATCAGACTTAACCTCGAACTCGGATTCTTTCTTCTCAAGGTCCAACTGAAAGTCCGGCCTCCTTGCGCCGGACGCGCCCTTGCAGTAATACTTCCTATGGGCGTCCAAGTTATCGGCGCTTGTGTATGAAATCTTGCAGAAGGGACAAACAAAGTTGCCACAGTCAACGGCGTCTGTGGTCTCAGCATTCTGACCGCGAGTCTTCAGAAGCAGATCCTTGATTATGGAACCTTCTGGATTCTGAGGATTATCCAGCTCCTGGGTGAAGCTGTCGCTGTAGCACCTTTTCCTCGGCGACGCTTCCTCCGCCGAGGATAAATTCAGCGGCTGCTCACAATTTTTCGGCTCCACGAGGCTCTGCTGCCTCTGCATCAGCTTGTGCAGTCTCGGGTCGACCGCGTCCACAATGGCCTGATTGTCCGTGATTATCTTATCGATGTGCTCCTGCAGCTGTTCCGCGTTAGGCTTCGAATTCGAGGTGGAGCTCGTGGAGGAATTTGACGAGAGGGAAGAGGTCTCGGCGTCGTTGCTCACACTCTGCAGGGCCGTGTGGAACTTTGGCTTGTAGATCTTACCGGTCTTTACGGTTTTCGTGCTGGAGATAGAGCTTGGAGTCGATGCCGGTGGCGGAGGTGGCGTGCCGGTACCGTTACTGGCGCTGTCCGATAGACTTATATCCGAATCCTCGGATACCTGGAACAGCGCGAGAATAAAACATATTTTAGATCCATGTAAAACTCGGAACGATCATTGTTATTCGTAAGACAAAACAATGATTACCTTGCTGGCATCGATTCCTTTCATCTTGAGAACGTGCGCCCGCGACCTGCTGTGCTTGTACAGATTAGACTTGGTCTTAAAGGCGAATCCGCAGAGCACGCATGGGTAGGGCCTTTCATTCGTATGGGCCCGGATGTGCTTCTGGAGAACACTTGGCTTAGCACAGGATAATTTACAGTAGGGACAGACGTATCCGCTCTTCCTGGTCTCAACGGGTTCACCCTCAGCTTCCGGAGACGCTTCGACCTTGCTCGACTCCTTCCTATCCTTGTTATCCTTGGCATCCTTACTGTCCCTGGTATCCTTCTTCTTAGCGGGTTCCGGAGTGGCGGGGTCCGGTGAAGTCTCCTTCCGAGATTCCACAGGCGCCACTTCCGTCGTGGCCATCTTCTTGAATTTCTTATGCAGGTACTTGGGCTCGCCATCGTTGTTGTTATTATTATTTTTATTGTTGTTATTATTGTTGTTCAACTGTGGGTCTGTCATCGCCACAGTGTGGGTCTCTGAAACGTAACGGAAAAATTTAAATTTAGTAAATTCCATCGACGTTCCAGAGTTACGAGAAATAAACGATGACAATCAAATATGTGTCTTCGATGCTCGCGAAGAAGTACCGGAAGTCTTGACGGTGTAATAATCAAACGACTTTGACTACTAAACGATGACAGGGAAAATAACGGTTAACGGAAGTCTCGGGGTTCAATCCTATAGGTCAAATTTCCTCGTACGATTATGTACCCGTAACTGAATTTCCATTTATAAATAAAACTGCCTCGAATATCACCAAATGAATTAACATGGAAATATTCAAAGTTTCTATAATTTCCACCTAGCTCGCAATAACCGTCACGCTCGCTTAGGTATCGTTAAACTCGATTACACTTCTAAATATTTGCTGACACGGTGTCTCCTATCTCGTATCATCATCTAACAGAGACTGCATGATTTTGCGAGATCCATAATCATCTCTTGATAAAAATATGCCCAAGCCTGTTTTTTTTGCACAGTTTCAAGTACGACCCTTGAAAAATTATTATTCAACAGGTACCCCAATGTATTTGGCTACCAAAAATAATACGAATAATAATATCCTCCGCGATTCCTTTGTTAAATCAACCACACTGCCAATGTCCCATCTAAAGATTTGATTCAGCCGGTAGTATCGTAAGGAAATAAAAGCTAGACAAATAGATAAGTAACGAGTCAGCCAACAACTCAGTCAGCCAACTAACTAGGCAGCCAGCCAGGCAAACACCTAAGGACGCACAAGCGGTATACAGATAGAGGATAGTTAAGTCGAGTTTTCAAAGAGCTTCGAAAAGTACGTTCGCTCGTCAGAGTGTGCCTAGTACAAAGTAGGAAGTCACGTTAGCGTAATACCGCGTAATTATCAGTGAGCATTAATTGCACAGGAAACAAACAAGTGTCCCGGATGCAGACAAAGTTCTTGTAATGGGTTCCTGATCATCCCCCGGAAGCTAACGCAATACGGAGCTCGATTCTCGAGTAAAATTTTTTATCTGCCAATCTCACGAGACATATCTAGGTTAGGTCACTACTCGCGACTCTGGTTGGAGTATAGGAACAGTACTTGGCTGAATAAAAAAATGAAAAGTCCAGAACAAGTATGGAGAAATTCCGATGAAATCAATAGAACTAGACTTGGTAGATATATTTTCTAGTACAGACGACTGTCGGACTAAAAATTTGTACACGGATTTTCCTATTTAGATTCCGCGAAGTTCCTGGTGCGATATTGGCATCGCTCGTCTGGTCTCCTGATATAAACACCTTTGGAAAATAAGTGACGCGTGAAACTTAGTCGTGCCGTGCGACTAGGAGAGTCAATCCAAGAGAGGAGAACCGAGTTGAACAAGATTGGGTATGACTTGTCGGAGATCAGTCTTTCGATAGTATGGATATCCAAGAAATTGATCGCGCACGGATGAAGAGGACGAGGAAGAGGAAGATGAAAGATCTTGTTCCACGTTGTTCGATCATCATGGGCCCCCAGACGCCCCATTCTCCATACTGGCGTGGGGTTCCTGGCGCCGCCAAAGTGGCTTGGTAATTTTAGATTGGGCTATTTATAAAAAAAAATGTTGGCAGAACAGACAGAGCGCGTCCCAAAGACAGTTCAGAGACTCCTCCCGTGCCGAACTCGTACCTAAATCTGTACGTTTGGCAGAGGATGTCAAAAAGGCACGGTCACCCGGAGCTTGACCAACGTCAAATACAACATATAATTTAATTCACGTCAAACGTCGCGACTTTACTTTTCAGGACTCTCCGTAGTCGTCATTAAAATCTATATAGCGTCCATATATTTCAAATGGATGATTATAAGTAAACACTCTTACTATTTACAGCAGCATCTGACTGTACGAAATTTTCTGACGATTAAAATTATCGGGTGGTAAAAAGCAGCAGATATTTTTTCCCGTTTCATTCAGTCTCCTGGTTACGTGCACAACGGTACTGTTAATAATTAAAATGATTATATTAACGACCGAGTACAAAGGACCTCCCTAGCGCCATCTGTGCGATCTATTAAGAGGCGTCCTAGCATTCGTAGTCGTGTCGGTCCTCTATACAATTCATTGTCAAGATACTCCGCGAGTATGAGAAAGACCCTCAGGGAATTCTCTATGTCGTATCGTTATTATTGTTTGCGCTTCGTCTCAATAATCCCTCCTCACTGTCTAGGGTGGTTGCGCAAACGTTTCTCCAAGTGGGCATGACTCTGAATCGGCCTCGTACTCGTGAGGATACACCGTAATCGCGAGAACGACAACGTCGACCGATAACATCACGTGAATACTTTGACGAGAAAAATAAAAGAAGAAAGACAAAAGGTAAGTCTTCGAAGAGGCGATAAATTCGTTTAGATACAAAAATATATTAGGATTTACCTTTCGTGGGCTTTCGACAGTATCCTAACCTCTTAAAATCATCAGAACTGATTCTTACATGGTATTATACGTCACGTATCTATTGAATTTCTTGTTTACATTATATTCTGCTTCAACTTTGCTGGCTTATTTGTCTCGGGCACTACTGTCGCGTGGTGACTGGGCACGTACACTGCAAATTACTTCCGACAGCGACGAGCTCGAGGACGTGTGTCCTTTGGAACAGACGTAATTGTTGGGTCTCGTTGCGTTGAAAGAGTGCTGAGACAGTCTGAGGAAATTGGTGGAACGTTGAAAAGTGCGAGATAAAGGAGAGAGGTTTTATAAAAGAGACGGGAACAGAGAGAGGAAGCGAGAAGGAATGGAAAAAATGGAGGAGGAAAAGTGCTAAGGATAAAAATAGCCCTGTCCTTTCTTCAAATACAATTTCATTTCCCGACTATCCTCGCGAGGAATAGGCACCTCTTTAACAAAAAGCCTATCTTTCTCAGGACAGCACTCTTTGTCTGCTGAAAAGTATGGTGGCCCGGGTGGAAGAGTTCGCGCGTGCACATCCCATTTTGACCTTAGAAAATAACAAGGTAGCCGTGTAAGGGCTTGAATTCCTTAAAGGGGACGAGTCGATACGAGTATGGGCAACTATTTCTAGCTTCTATATTATCGTACATTCCTCCCGGTGAATACATAAGGGCGGGACAGGGCACTGCTGGCTTCGTGTATGCAAGTATTATGAAACCGCGAAGATATCCTGAAGACGTTGTTGTGTCTGCCTTAGATTTTATTTTTGACTCGATTGACATCTTCTTAGCTGCCATCTTGAATTCTTGCCACTGTTTAATGAGGGTAGGGATAACGTAGTAACGACTTTTTTTTTCTAAGGAATGCAAGCTTTCATACAATTGTTGCGATAGGATTTTTTGTAATTTTTCACATTTTAGGATTTGTAAAACGGTTTCTTATGAATGATGCCATTAAAACTGACTTAATCGTTAATAATTCAAAAAGATGATAACAGTTAAGATTGGATTGGAGGTATTCGAATTTTCACAGCTATTTCTAATAATCATATACAGTGTAACTTTGTACACTGAATAAAAATATTTTATAAATTTTGAAGATATCCCCTGACTGTTTTAAACCTATTTGTCAAACAAACCACTCACAAATCGCAAAGCAATTACACTTACCCGCAACCATTCTCAATATTCGAAAGTGTTCCACGTATTTTGAAAATTCAAAAATTTCGAAACATTCATCGATACCTTGGGCGACAAAAAAACTAATAAAAAGCACCATTTGATCGTCCGAACATTAAAAACCCCTTTTTTTCAAAAATAAAAGTTATCCAAAGAATTCATAGCACAACTAAGTTTTTAAAGATTATCACCAATAACACAGTAATTCGAGTAGCACGGATCAAAGGAAACTGGATTATTACGATTCCGGCTACAACAGTCTTTCTCCTACTCACATAAATACCCATAAGTCCGTCTCTCTCGCGCTCGCAGCAAATACGATAAATTCCAAAATCTCAAGGATGGATCAGGCAGCCCTTCTGCGTTCGGTCGATAACACTGGCGACTTGCCAATACCAGACGTCGTAAAACTTGGCACGTGTACGCCAGCACAACATTGCCAAATGATGCTTAACCAAAGCGATCGCATGACAGCTGTCAAATCCTAACTGATGCATTTAAACTGGATAGACCTGTATAGAGAAGGGTGTACAGTGCTGCCGCATACAGCAAGCGGGAGAATCCCGCAACAAAGAAAAGAGGCAACTGGCTGCCAAGTGAGTCACACACCAGTCGGTTCTTGCGGCTGACGTAGCTATGCGGCACTTGATCTCCTACCGCCGTGCAAATCAAATTGACCAATAGCAGCGCTACGTTACTATCGCCCGACCAATGAGGGCTCTCGCTTCCCTTCTCGCCGGCGTCAAACTTCACAGCGTACAAGTAGGAGCCTCTGTCGGTGAACGGGTGAACGGGTCAGGCACCCCGTACGTCTACGTGTCCCTAGGACGTTCACGGCCGTGCCCACGGAATCCCCATTGTTATCGCTCGACTCGGCGTTCTCGCAGCGATACGGTGGAAAAGGAATTAACGAATTGTATGTGGCGCACGGTTAGACGGGAACCTCCTCGTTATCTTTATCTCGGACCAGACTTTCTGATCGGATCAGCGACATTTCTCACTGTGGTATCATTAAAGAGGCATTTTATGCGCATATACATAGTCATACGAAGAAATTCAATTCCCACTATAGGTGTCGCGTGTGGATTACGTGTCGCTTTACACAGCCAACACGACTTTACCCTGCGATTCCCAGAATTTTCTTTACAGCTACACGAAATTCCCTGGCATTCCTGTCAAGAGGAAAGACCCGAGGGGACTTTCTAATCTTCCTGGTTCCTCGGATTTTCTTCCAAGTATCCATAAGGGGATAGCTACTGTAGGTATATACACATATTCTGCAAGGTATACATCATCACTGTATATCCTAATTAAATCTCAAAATTCTATACACTATATTTCTTTCAGTCTTACTACGTACAAGAGCGGAAGCGATTCCGCGCATAGGCACGTTCTTTCTGTTTACGTTTGTACCGCGTGAAAAGATACGTTTCTCGTATTGACGTAAGAGCAGCTGTACTCTCTTGCGCGTTTTTTTCAGCTTTTCGTTTTACCAGCTTAGGAGAGCTACATGGAGCGAAGTATCGATAAACCGAAGAGCATGGTTGTTTATGTTCGAAAATTCCATAAATACAGAACAGAGACATACATCCGTCTGTAGTACCGACTGGAGGAAGAGTTTCGAGAAGAAAATCCTAGCCCAAGGATTCCCAAAGACTGTCGAAGTATTGTCGTGTAATACCAACGACTCCTGGTGTTATGAAATCGCAAACGGGCCTGTTTGGTCTAACGGCTTCTCCCGGCTGTCAAAGGGAATTATAAAAGTGGTAGTAGGTACCCCCAAGGAGAACGAGTTTATTTAGCGCATTCTATACTCGTCACTAGTTCCTTGCTGGGTTTTTATGACGATCTTTCGACGATTTAACGAACATCATGAAAACGGCGCGCGACACTCGCTGGGTTGAAGTAAATTCGGAACGTAGTTAAAGCGACTTGACGACGAGCGCGCATGAGACGAGAGAGAATCCCCCTTTTTTTCCGTCATCCTTGACGCCAGATGTCAAACGCGTCAAGAATCCCAATAAAGAGCAACACAAACAACATCGCAGAACCGCGTGGGAGGCGGAAGAGCGCTTTTAATGGGACTTGCTTACTTAAAAGTACTTTTAATGGGAATTCGAACGAAGTGGCAATACGCGAGGAAAGAAAAGAGACGTTTCCATAGAAACATAATACACGCACGAGTATTACTATAGTATAACATCCTGATCTTGATCCTCGTGTAAAACGTGATCGTACAGTGAAAGCGAATGACACTGTTAAAAATTATTATTTTGCGCACTCTAACGATGCTAAAAACAATGACTGATTATAATCGAATGAATCGATTGAAATCATTTTGTCGTATCGGATCACATTGATGAGTCCGCGAGCGAGCCGAGTAAACACAATTAGGATCCGGTATTAAATTTACACAAGGAAGTAGAAAAAAAAAGGTTTCGGATGACGAGAGGGAATAAAAAAATTTCTTCTTCGTTTTTCGTTTCTTACTGCAACGATTTGCGCCTTCAAATCCGTGACGAGACTCGCGAAAAAATTCCAAGGCGTGCACGATCTCCCTCTTGCTATAATAAAGTTCGCGAGCTTCGTCGTGTCACCGATAGTCGCTCGTTTTCTTCCTCTCCCTCCTCCTATCTCGCTCGCACTTTGCGTAGCATGAAAATAGCCAGGCGTACTTGGAATATCGCGCGGCCTACGCGCTAAGCACGTTAAAACAAGGATGTATCACCCATTGGTAAGAGCGTGCTAGTAACTTTAGAGCGAGAGAGAGAGAGAAGAACGAGGAATGACACTCGGCGGAGTTCACAATCGGACGTGTATATATAAATATATATATTACACGTATACAGTGCACGAGTACTGTTGAGTGAGAGGTAAGCGCGGAGGTGTAAGGTACGATTGAAGTGGCGAGGAAGAGTGAGTGAGCGAGCGAATAAGAATGAGCGAAGCACGAGCGGGAGGTTAGAGAGGGAGAGAGAGAGAGAGAGGGAGGGAGCACTGTTGTCGCTTTGTGACTCGGGCACAGGTCAGAGAGAGAAAGAAGATACACGGGACTCATGGCTCACCTGTCGTCATGGCAACGCCGCTTCGCCGCTCACTTGTTACTCCATCGGCATAGCTCGAGCCTCGATCCTCTCGCAGCCTCCGCGAGAATACGAATAATACGACGAGCAGGAACGGCGATCCATCGTCGAGAGGCCGTCAGACAGGGAAGTCGGCGGCGAGTTCGTCGATCGTCGTCGAGGGAAACCCTCGTGGTTGATAGACCTCGCGCAATAGAGACACCGTTACTATATCACAGAACACGCACTTTCACCACCAACAATAATCCAAGAAGTTACTAGGATCGTCGGGACACTTCGTCGCGTACGTCATTCAAGAGACACATATCCACGTGCACGTTTTCAGTTATTCTTATAGTATTTATTATACTCTCCTTTTAAGATTACTATCCTCTTTGCATTCCCTACAGCGTTAGGCTTCTCAATCTCGGTTTAACCTTTTCCCGGATATATCACAGACTCGATGCACTTTTGTTTATCACGAAGAATCCTCGCCCGTTTATTTGCTCGGGGGTATTCCCTCCGCCACGCACTCTCAAGCCAAACTCACTCTATTTTAAGACTCGCACTGTCCCAACGTCACGTATAAAACGACCGACGTCTTCCACCGCGATGTCTAGATTCTCCTCGTGGCACTCTAGGCGATCCTTCTTCTCGTAGCTGATTTTAAAAGTTCGTTCCGTCACGATTTTTTCGACTCGTTAGAGATACGTCGGGACGCTTCGCGCGACTCCTCTCTCGTTATCCACTTACCAGCGCGTCAATCTGTTTGCTATGCAAATCTCGTCCGACCAGTGCTGACGTAGTCGTCACCAACACAGAATCGAGCCCGTTCACGATGTCCCCCGCTGCTGCAAACACACTTAGCACGGAGTTAGTCATTGCCCGTAGCATATACGTTGAAATAATCGGCTGTGCCGTGAGCACGGAGCAATTCCACGGGCTCAGGCGACTGCCTCACTGACTCTGCCTCCACCGCCGCACTCCTCCTCGTCAACCCCACTACCATTCTCTGACTTACGAACCGACGAATTCTCCTTCCGACTCGATCGGGCTACCTCGGACTAGCTGACGTCATTGGCGCCTAATTACGAGAAGTATTTACACGCCGCGCGACGAGCGTTTACACCTCTCAGGCAGACACCTCGACGGTGCTGTCGATTCACGTAGGATCCTGATGATCGTCTGGTGACCTTTAAAATTTCTACCGGGAATTCAACACTTTTTCCTAGTTATATATATTGTGCGTATCGAGTATCAAGCACAACGTAGAGTAACGTGTATCCAGCCACGAGGTCTTCGTTCAGTGAGTTAGGTTCTACAGTACCTAACCTCTCTCAGACTTAAACCCTCCTTATCTCCTGTCTCCAGTCTACTGGTTCCTCGGACAGAGGCACACGCAGTCTTGAATCTTGATAGTTAAATTTAACTCTAACCAGTTAGACCGACTGACAATCATCCGAGCACATTACACGCACCACTTTTTCATATGACCTTAACAACACTGCTATTAATCATTTATTTCGTAATTTTCGTAAATCGCTCAGGCCGCAGTCACGAAGTCGCTCGTCGCGCACTTGTTTACACATGTCATTCGCATCAACGCGCCACGCGCTTTTTCTTTCTCCTTCTTCACCCACCTTCACACTCCACCTCAGCTACTCTCTTATTTCGGCGCTCTCACCAAGCACGTACGGCTTTTCTTTCCTTTTTATAACAGGCAGCTATGGTCTACCCAGACGTATTAACACCGTAACTTCACAGAATATTTAAAACAGTATCAACAACAGTAACAAAGCGACCCCCGACCGGTCTCAACAAGTGCTCGTTCCACTCCTCCGTATTTCCTCAGTCTCGCTTCTTCGTTGTCGGAGGAGCCTGCGGCACGAGCACGCTAGCTCTTCTCCGTGTTGTTACTGTTGCGTAACTGACGAGAACGAGCGGCTCTAACCGCTCTGGCAGCTAGACTCTACGAGCGAACACGAGCGAGGGAGCCGTGGGTGAGTTGCAGCCTGTGGGCGAGCTTCTGCCAGAGCTGTTAAGAGAGAGCGGGCGAGCGGTGCGCCGTCTGGCGTGGCTGGCGACAGTCTGCTGCGTTCCGAGAACCACGAGGCGATTCCGTGTATCGAACGCGCAGAGCCTGGCGCTCACTCCGCGAGGGGCAGAGCAGGGGAGCCGTCGAACAAAGAGGTAGAGGCTTAGGAGAATGAGCGAGAGAAAGAAAGAGAGGGACTACAGACTGAGGGCCACAACTGTGAGTCGGTGAGACGTTATAAGAGGGGAAATACGGGATGGTGACGCCTGGTGGGAGATTTGAGAGGATTGGACGGGCCTCAGGTTAAAAGGAGACGATGCTATGGATGAACGGGACGCAGACGAGGATGAAGCAACCGATAGGAACGTCGGAATACACCCTTGTTAATTCTTACGTTTCGCTTTTATACGTCCTTCTGTACGGTCCAACTACTGTACCGCGAGCGTGAGAGAGAGCTTATCTTCTATTCCTAGCGAACATTGCTATACTGACTCCTTTCGTACTCCACACGTCGGATGCCTCACTAGCTAGCATTCGGACAATTCCGGAAGAGCTTTGGCAAATGACCTTTAGCGAAGAGGGGTGATCCATTGGCGTAGGCTTTGAATTCTCTCTACTCTGTTTCGTAAGGTTCGCTTCGATCCTATTGAATTCTCTAAAGACACCCTCGGTCTAACTTAATATATGATGATTCTAGGAAGGATCAACAGACTGAACGGGTGACTTGTTGCATCTCTGATGAATCTTTAGCTGACCGAATATTCGCATGAAAGTGATTGGCATTGTCATTACGTGACGCATATCATTAGCTGTAATTTTAAAAATAAAATGTTATCAAAATTGCACTATCTGGTTTCTTAATATGGTGTTTTCAGATTTCTTTAACACTACCAAAGTCCTTCATGCTGGCCGACGTTATTCAGTCACCAAGAGCAGAACTCCCGCAGTATAGATAAAGGCGATGACACAGGGTCGACTAGCTGGTCGTTGACACGGCTTCCCGAGTGAATTTCGACGCGCACGACACTCAACGGATTCTACCTAACCAAAGGAGCAAGGTCGTGCTCGCGAATAATAATCGAATCGAATTATCGTCAATAGCGATTGTGATTACGACCACCAGTATAATGCGAGAGACACGTGTCAATCGATATGAGCAAAGTGCTAAGGACAATAAAACAAAAGACTAAATTCACTCGGTCGTTAGAAATAACATGAAAGAATTCCCCCAGTTATTATTATTATAATATTTCTTTTCCATTTACCAGGTGTCTAATATTTTTTCAGAACTGTTACAATCATTCTCCTTGTCTACCGGTTCACTCGTCGTCATCAAGAATGGGATTCCGTCCGTCCGTACCTTATGCAACGCTTTCTCGATTATTGCCAGCTCAGCGTCGAGCCTCTCCTGAAACAAGAAAGAAAAGAGAGAAACGAGCTCGTACCTCTCTACTGCTTCTGATACCTACGTGCAAGCGCACGTGCCGCATCAAATGTAATTTAATTGAAATCAAGTTGCGGAGAAAGCTATTCCGATCCGACGTATCCCGCTCGATCGTTCGTCCAACGACCTCGTTCATCCGGGTGGACCGTCTACGCTTTATAATACAGGTTCTTGGATCTGCTGTCTACTACAGTACCCGGTCGTCACTCTAACGAGGACGTATTACCTGGCGGGTCTAACTAAGGAACAGGTGGCGCCAGCCCGTACCACGGGAATTCCAAAACATAAAGGTCCTGGACACGTTTATAAGGATCCTTGCACCTGCCCGTCCCGTTTACCTCACAACCATTTTCCATAGCACCCATACCGTCTCTACCTACGTATCCAGCCAAAGCAAACCCCCTGGGACAAGAGTGCCAGTGTCTGAGGAACGTTCAGAAAACTCCTATGGGATATCCCAGTTCTCCTCGAGGAAATAACGCAGCTAAATGTACAATGGCAACTTGGGTCAGAGCCCATCTTGCATCTGGTATCTGACTTCCGGTCTAACAAAAGTCAATGCATTGCTGTTTTTTTTTTTCAAATTTCCGGGAGTGTCCCATCAGCCAAATCCTCGCTGCTCGTATCGTACTGCAGCACGCCAAACGTCTGGCCACGCCAAGTCCAAGTAGAGTGGTGTAAGCCAGTATATATATATATGTATAATACATACAGCGCGAGAGGCACACGTGATGAGAGAGACTTCAGAAAGGAGGGAGTATTACGAGCGAGAGAGAACCTCGGTCACGGCGGTGGGGCAATTCCTGGAATGTCCTGGCGTCTCGGCCGAACGACAGCCCGGCTCCCCCGGAACTCCTACGGAGTCGAGTAGCCTGCCTGACTGTTGAATTGCCTGACCGGTTGCCTGCCTGCCTTGCCTGACTCCATTTACGCACCGACACTGTACTCGGCAATCGGCTGACTTCTATGCTACGTTCTATTCCGCCACTGCACGGCCATCTTGTATTTCATCCATGGCCTTCTTGATCTCTTTATCTACTCAATATACATACAGCTTAGTCTTCTCTTGTCCTAGGTACGTCGCGCAGGGATGTACTCAAGGAAGTTTAAGCTCTGTTATATTGATAGTGGAAAGTTTCAAGATCATCTTGAACCTCATTATCCTTACTTCTTGATTCTTGGTCTTGGGTTATTTATCTCTCTGGCTACCTGTTAACAGTACGCTGAGACCTTAGGCTGATGATAACACGCGATGTACCTGAGACAGAAACGGTGTTACAGTCTTACTGTGTATACAGTAATCTTATGTAGTGTATATATATATATGTAGGTTAGGTTAGCCTCTCTTACCTCCACTTCCTCCTTACCTGTTGCGTTCGCATAATCGTCTAGTGAACCGCCGGAATTTAGGGTGGCTAACGTGACTAACGTTAACGTGCAACACGTTGCGTAGAACTGTTGGGGTCGGTTAGGCCCAGGGAATCCTCAGTCTGAATCGTGACTCGGTCGTGTGGCACTCTTAAATTCCTTTCTCATTCTCTGTTATTGAATCGACAGTGTTTAATATAGATTTTCGTTAGCTGCACCTTAGTACCTTTATGGTTTACAACATGAAAATAATTATTCTGAGAGTACCAGGCGTCTGGAAGGTCAGAGAATTTCTAGGATTGGAAACTCCCATGGAGACAGAAGGGTCTGGCTAGGTAGTCATCCTAGAAAGGTCTTCTGCTTTTTTTTCCATCTTTTTGAGGATTTTGTGATAACTTCCTGGAAAAGAATACCCTAGTAATATTTTTGCCCAACGTCTTCTGCCTACCACGCAGGTTTCTACCTTGAGAAATAGGGGAGCTGCTTCCAGAGATGAAATCCAAGAATATCTCAACTGGAGGATCTTCATGTTGTTTTTAACATCCGAAAATACATTTTTTTACTTTATCCGTCCGGCGTACTTTCTTTTTGGAATCGCGCCCCGTGCCCACTCTGTTCGAACGATCATTCCGATGCATTATCATATTGCGAAAGAGTTCCTAGCGCGATGTGTTTACGCACGAGGCACGGAATGACTATTCTCCTCAGCCTCGATTAGCTTCTGTTGTTTAATTAGTTTGTCGCGAAAGAAAGACAACAAAAAATGGATGACGTAGCACGTCGCGCGACCGACGGCCGCATACGCAACGGGGTCTCGAGCGCGTACGACACGCGCGGCGCTGCATAAATAAACTGCGTTGCCGTTTGGTGTCTCGCTCGTAATCCTCTTCCGTCTCCTCCCCTCTCACCCACGTCGGCAGTTCCCACCGCGCCTCTTTTCTAACCAGCGACTCAGCCGCGGTCGTCCCACCCGCCGGCTGTTCCTCTGACGTCTGGAGTCTCTCCCGCAGGCTCGATCCGTTCCTGTGGTATCAATGAAAACGTGACGTAAGAAGCTTCTTGCTTTTATACATTCTTTTTTTAATTCTATTATCTCACCGCCTTCCAGTTTCCCTCGGTAACAGATCGTACGAGTGTGCGCCGAGCCAACGGGCACCCTCGACAAGCTCTATCGCAGATGATCCAATTGAAACGCGAAGGATAAGGCGATGCTGCATGGAGAAAATTGAATCGTCGGGAAGATCTCTTTAATGGCTGCCAGCTTATTTACTCGGTTTGCCTCAACGTTGCGTAGCCCTAGTCTTTCCCGGGGCCTCTCCTTTGATCACGTTTCTCCTTTTTGCCTACATCCATCAGTAATCTGCCACGTCCCTGAAATCCTCACAGCAACTCTCTCTCTCTCTCTCTCTCTCTCTCGCTCGTCCTCTCTCTTTCTAGCTGTTCACCAATGGTAACCACTCGACAACGCGCTACTCGAGCTCGACTAGTAAACTCCTCCAGTCCCATTCCTTTAGCCGGCAATCCTTGCCTCTTCACCGCGTGGCGTCATGTACGCTCTCGCGGGCGAGAGAGAGAGAGAGAGAGAGAGAGAGAGAACAATATGCTCACCAGCCCTCAACTCACTCCGTCTAACCACGAGGCCATCTTATTCGTCTTATCCTCATCCCACTGTTACTCTTCCTCCTATAGAGAGTCCAGAGCGAGATTCCCTCTATTGTGAGTAGGCATCTAGAAGTAACGGAGGCAAGAGAGAGACTTGAAGAGAGAAGAAGAAGAGAGAATGACTCCTGGAGTCTCTCCGAGGGATTGCGGTGCATGTATAAAAGAGGGATTTCCTAGAAGCCAAGGGAGCAGAGCCTCGCTGGTCTTCTGTGGCTGTGGTATATTTTATACGTTTAACGTTTGCGCGCTACTGCGCAACGCGTCCGCAAGTCCGTGCGTGTCACTCAAAACTTCCAAGTCACCAATATATCTAGCCGACTACCGTAATAGCTTTTATGTCAGGATATCCTAGATAAGCTACGACACGGTTACGTGCTCTTACTATACTTTAAGCTGTCCATAATTCCCACCGTTATTTTAGAGCTCTCCCGCCGTCTCTCTAGCCGCTGGTAAGCGCTGCATGTCCGCTACGACGCCTGTCAATTCGACGTCGTATTTTCACTCGTTAGAGAGTCTGCCGGGCCAGTCTGTGTCTACAGGGTGTACGAACGAGACGGGGTATCTTGTAGTTCCTTGGGGAAACGACCAGGCGAAATATTTTACGCGATCAAACGTCTGTTATCTATGGGATTGTTTTGTACGTGAAACGGAATGGAGAGAGAAGAGGGTTATACCTTATTTTGCGGTGAGAAGTCACTGATGCTTATTTACTTTTATTCCCCTGATGTCTGTGATTACTGTTGGTATTGTTTTGTTTTTATTCCGTTCCTCTATCCCTCGCGCTTTATTCACCTTCTGCATAACGTGACGACGCCTAATGCGTTAGCATAGATTATCGGTTCGCTGTACAAAAAGTAGAGGACGCGTCGAGCGTCGAGTAGTTACCAGGCAGGTCACGTGGGCGCAATGCAGTCGGCTAAGTCGCACAGTACCCACCGGGACCGAATGACTGTTTACGCCATGGAATTTACAAGTGGAATTCTCTGGAAGGAAATGCCCGCGTTTACTCGAGTTTCTGCTTTTATTTATATCGTCATTATTAAATGTTGCAGTGCTACGCTTTATGGTTCTCTCAAATATCCTCGTGTCACTTCGGTACACTCTTTTCTTCGTTAAATTCTACGACGTTCTTTCTGCTCAATTATTGGGTGTCGCTTGCCACTCCTGAGGCCATGATGTTCATATTTCCCCCTGGTCTCCGGTATACGAGTAAACTTTTCACTGGTAAAATTAAAGGAGGAACTTCTCCTGCCGCTGTAGTAAAGACAGTTCAAAAGACTTTGAACGCTATGAAGAGTGAACGGGGCGGTTTCGTCATATAACGGGTAGAAGTTCTCGAAGGCATGAAAATCTTCCACGAGGAAACTACCAGCAGCCTTGTCCCTTTGCGTCAGGGATTTCTTCCTCCTCGGCCCTTTTAGAAACCCACGGGATCGCATCCCCATTCCCCTTACAACCGGCTGGTGAGCCAGCCAGCTAGATGCCTGGGCTTGCTATGGGTTGAGGTCTGAGCTCCCCCGGATAATATCGCCGTCCTGTTTCCTGGTAATTTACGGTCCTTTTGTCTTAAGGATCCATCCGCAGGGATAAAGGACGAACGAGACACAGAGGGTTCTGCAGGGCCAAAAGGGACTATTGTTCCTGGGTAAGGTCCACGCAGGAGCAAGACCTGGCACAGTCACCTGTACGATTTGTATCCTGTGTCCTTTGGGATTTTGCGTCAGTCTCTAGCAATGTGATCACTGATTCATCTATTTTCCTTATTTTAGGTCTGCCCTCCTATTGTGACTCTCATCAAAAAGACTGCCTTTCATCCACGAGATTTCCAACTGCTATACAGTGCTTCGATAGCACCCGCTGACGTCCTACAACGATCCCCAAAGCTGCCCATCAACCTTCAAGACCTTTTGGTATTTTTCTTACTTGGCCCAAGGAATTCTATTTGGAGTCGCAAGGACCTGAAGAAAGTAAGTCCGGGGTCAGGTTAGGTTGCCTTGATCTCGTGCCCTCTTATCTGGACGCTAAAGAAAAATTTACTCTACCATACCAGACGGTTTGTGTCTGCTTTTGACAAAGGGGAAACCAATTACTAGACTTAGATCATTGATTTTTGGATCTATCTCAGAGATCTCTTCGAAAAAGATCACTATCAACAGTTACCCTCTTTGAAAGACCAGCTACGTATATTCGACTGTTTATAGGTAAAGGACGCATGGAAAGGATCTATCATCCCTTTCTCTCTCGCTTCTTCTCTTAACCTCCAGAAATTCTTGAGGCTGTAAATTATTCGATTTGCTGGAAGAAGGATAAGGGGGTCGAGTTCATTTCGTTGCTCCCTTGCTTCCAGTCTCTTGCAACGTGAAACGTCGCTCCGTTTACTGGAAAGCAAAACTTTCGTTTCTCGAAGAGCTGGAAGGAGGGGCGGAAGGGCGGAAGGGAAGGGGCTGGGAGGGAATATCGGCAAGGGACCTTCCGCATCCTCTCGTTCGCTCCGCAGATGCCATCCCTTGGAGAGACAAAGGCCTTTAAGGTGGTTTCACGCGGGTTTGACTCGAGCAAAAGCCATTTCGCTGCTTGGCACGGAGCGGGCTGAAGTCACGGAACGAGAAAAGCCGAGAGGGATGAAAGTAAAGAAATAAAAGAGAACAAAAAATAAGGGAGAAAGGCCGATAAGGGATCTAAGAATCTTCAGAGAAAAGTCTGAGGAAGGTAGAATGAAAAATAAAAAAAATATCCGGGTGCTCTACCGTATTCAGGGATGAGGTTGCCGACCCTTCGTACCCACCCTTGTAAAAGAATCCAAGGCGTTTCCTTTGCCTTCAAAGGGGATCCACTGCTACATGGAAACCCGACCTAATCCCAGAGCGGTGGAACGACCTATTACATAGGTGAGTGCAATAGGTAACGTAACCCCTCCGTATAGCGAGGTAGCCTGAACGTATCTGGTACCTAGATGGGTACTGCCACCATAGGGATGTCCAGGAGGGTCAAGCGCTGAACAAAAGGGCGAATCAAGAACAGAAGACTGTATTCCTACCACAATGAAAGGATCCTAAATCAGGAGTGGGTCCGTAAATACATCAGGACCAGAAACGAACACCATACCAGCCACCATAGGTTATTTACCCTTGGCAATGGGGTCGATCGATTTGTTGATCATCCCCACCTAATCATCCTGACCAATCTCCATCCAGACCTCCTTCCCTTGTAACCTGGTCAATCAGTCCGAGTCATCTTGCAAGTAGGACCAGGTCAGACTGCACTAGGACCAAGGTCGAAGTGAAATCATCAAAAGGTACCCCCTTCTAGATTAATTTTCTTAGCCACTTATTTTTCACTTTTTTCTCATCGTTGATCTTCTGATATCAGTTTTGGAGAAAACTCGAGCCCTTATCATTCGTTCAGTCTATGAACGATGTACTGATTAACTGGGCTCGATTAACAAGTGACCTTGCGATTTTAATCAAAACTCTGATATCTGACGAATGACTAACGTACAGTACCTAATCTTGACGGAGGACATACATAGAGAGAAATTGACAAAGAGGTATACCCACTGGGGTAAAGAAAAGTATCACCAGTTGTGGATTCGGTAAATGACCGGACGTGATAATTCGTATCAGACTGTCGCCCTGCTTTTCTTTTATCGCCGTTGCGTAGGTGTACATTTATTTGCCTCTTCGTGTTAACAGATTTGATATGTACCCCGTCGTCGTGACAGAGCTTGGGTAAATAAATAAAGTTACATTCTAGTAAGATTTCTCAGGACGATCATTATATTGGCATAGTAAATCCAGGTTCGTTCAGAAAATACTTACTGATTTTACCTTTCATGGTCCATTTTACAGTTCGAACTTATTGGTATACTTGGTTTACGGTAACGTCCAGTGTCTTCTTCGATACTCGAACTTTCCAAGGTACTGGCTATACCTGGCATATGTTTTCTAGACGTCCTACCCGACTCAGGAGTTTGCTTCGACGTAGTATGGCCAAATGTTTATCCAGAGACTGCTCGTCTTTACCATCCATCGTCTTGAGGGAATCGAAGAAGATCCAGATGGGATTCTCAGTTAAAGAGACAGCTCGTCGCTGAAAAGCAACTACGTTCATTTGCTATCGCGTATTTCGCCCCACTTTGCGATAACTCTAATGCCACTGATAAAAACAGCGTCCCTGCTATTTTCGAATAAAACACTTGATATAGCAGATAGCAACTGGACTGTTACAAGGTCGATAACCAGATATCTCAAACAGATACGAATGGTAAATTTAATTGTTAAAATTTGCGACTACATTATAAATTTTCGTTACAATTTGTAAAATTAATTAGAAGTGATTATAGCTCGTCGGCCATCTTGAATTATGACGTCAGATATACAAAATTTCATTCTTACGATACGGTCCTGATGGTCCTTCGTTATCAAGGCGGATTATTTAAATTCTTATTAGTTATCCCAATGGCAGGCTCGAGATCCAATATCCAATGAGTAGTCCCGACGGAGCAGGTCTGCCCGCAGGTTGCAAGGATCTTGTCACCGAGGTGAACCTGATCTCTCCTTTGAGAGTAAATGAGAACTCGGCACTCGGAAAGATCGCTATGGTGCATGAGAGAGCGAGTAAGAAAGTGAGTCTCCTCTCTGTCACTCGCCGAGATACAAGCCAGAGAGAGGGCCGAGAATAATAATAAAGAGACGAGAAGGCAGATAATGTACGGCGCCGTTCTGGCGTCCATTCATGCTTTTTACTCGTTAGCGGTTAGAACTCGGCTCACCTGGCCTCGCCTCCTTTGCTTCTCTTTTATTATACAACACTCCTCCATACCATGGAACCAGTTAAACTCTTCCTTCTTTTATCACCTACGATACCCGCCGTCTATTATTCCTGCACCAGTTCTAGTAATTATTTTGATACCTCCGTAATCCGCAGGGCGGCGCTGGCGACACGAAAATTTCATTGGTAGTTCGAAAGAGATACTTTTTGTTATTCTTTTTTCTTTTCTAGTATTTACCTGGTATATCCAATCAATTTCTCTCGATAGACAATTCGTAATATACATGGGATTAAGGAATAACGTTCGAGAAGTAACCCACCAGAGAATGTCATAGAAAAAGAATGAAATAAGTATGAAACTCGAAGTGCCGAAGACGACTCACGTAGTATCAACTGCGCTGGGCTGCGTCAATGTGTCAGAGAGACTGTTCCCTTGCAGTGGGCTGCCTTTTATGTCCAGCCGCAAGACTCTCGAGACTCTCCTGGATGTTCTCGTCTCTCTTCTTTATATATCTAACAGACAAAGGATGAAAAGAGCGCGCAGTCGCTTCAGCATGAATCCAACTCCGGATTCAACGTTCGTATGTATGTAGACCTATGCTTATCCATAGATATACTCGATGCAAGAGAGTGCGCATCCGCGAATGGCCGAACTGGATTCGCACGGGCTTGGAATATCAACGAACTTCATTCCGGTTCGCAAGAACCCTTGAATGAAGCCACGAATGGGAAGCCGTTGCAGCAGATTCCGCCGTTCAGTCCACGTCGTCCCGGTATAGTTGACGAGCTTCGAGAAGTTTCCGTCTCTTCCCAGAAAATATCCAGGAGGAATTGGCTGTGTTGACTGCTCGACTTTTTCAATGAGAAACTAATGGAATGTATACGAGATATCGAAAGTGAATGAATGGATAACGTATATTGTATTTAATTACTTGGTATATCAAAAGATCGAGGTTCTTTTATATTATTTTAATTCCTCTTCTGTGATTGATTTTTTCACGTTACGTCATGATTATCAGAGCATGTCTCATTGTTACGGTCTGACAATTTCAGAACATCGGTATCTGTGCTCAAGCAACTTCGGATTAATTTTTTTTTCATCTTCGCGACGTTTTTTATTTTTCGTTATCGCGCTTTGCTTTCTTGCTAACTGATAAGATATCGAGTTAGAATATTTATTTGATACGTTACTTTATCTGCGTACCTTTCGAACTGATCAATCGATAAGATTGCTTGGTCAATGCCTCCCTCGTAAGAATCGTCGAGAAAATTCAAATTTAAATTTCCCGCCAATCCAATCAAACAGTGAATTCCGTTTCGTGGAAGCCTATAAGAAATTACGCTTCTTAGAAATAATCTTTACGTTCACAAAACCATTAATTGAGTTCCAGTCGATTTAAAGGACAATGCTAAATTTCGGGAAATTGATCAATCGTGCCTGACAGCCGTGCCAAAGGACGTTATACCTAGTAATGTTGTTTTGCTTAAATAATTTTATTTTTAATTCAACCAATCTCAATCCCTTTTTTCACTATCGTCTCTATACACTGTCCACGTGCAATATGCCATCTCAAGGAAATTCATTCTGAAGTACAGCTATCTATGAAAAGACTGTGTCGGTACGTCTTCCTAGTAGGAATCGTTCCACAAATAGAAGATGTGTTTAACCATGATCTGAGCCATCCAGGCGTGGGAGTTCATAGAGAAACCAGATAGTATGTACAAGAGAGAGAGAGAGAGAGAGAGAGAGAGAGAGAGAGAGAAACAAGAGATACTAAAAAGATTAGAAAACCTTACACACGCACCGGCAAAACTCTGGTGAATGAAATGAATGAAATTGTACACAAGTCCAACCATGCTATACATAAATCCACGTACCACACATGTACCGCGTACGTTAGTACGATAACACATAGCGTTTATAGGGGCAATTTTAAATAAGAGCATTCTCACGTCAGCTCAGACAAATCTACACGCAAGAGGTATCCGAACGAGCCTATAAAATTACAGCATTGTAAAAGTGCCTGCAGTCATGACGCCCAGGTTCCCCCCTTAAGTCCCTGGCAAATCCTCAACGCGTCCTTCGATCCCATTTAAAACGCGCGCTAAAAATACCCAGACGCCCCCGCGCGTGCCTATACGTTTTTCATCAGACAGTAGTTCCTCCAGCATATATCATCACCACTGCGAAAGACCGATTCAACTAGTACGACTATAACCGTGCTACCAGTTTGAGGTTAGAAAAAGGAAATACGTTGATTTAAGAGAAAAAAAAAGAATAACATTCGCGGATCTAATATGGTCTTCGGTGTATTTATACCGACAGTTTTCGGGGAAGCCGCGTTACGAGCGACTCCCAGGAAAGAGATTACTCCGTTCCGGGAAGGTGAAATGCATTTTTAATGTAAGACCGTTCCCCGTTCTCTCTATACCCCCCGGTCGCACAATTCCACGCTTCCAACTTTGACCGTTTAGACTCGCAACAAAACATCGGGAGCTTCCTTCTTTGGGTGGCGCGGACCGGTTCTCTTTGGCTTCCCAGAAACTTCAACGCCAATTAAATCCTCCTCTGTCATCGGGCCTGCGCTATTAATAAATCATTAACAGCTCGACGATCTTGACGTGAGAATACGGAGTCTCATCGATCTATGGGATATCCATCGAACTAGGATACGCGTCCTACGCTGTTATTGGTCGCTGTGAATTAAATACTTAACGCTCATTGGTCAATGTCTTTCGCTATGGTTTTACCTATATTACGATCATACCGGATATACTCCGGTAACCATTGGCCACCTAACGTCTGCCGGATACACTCTGGGTTTTCTATTATCGGCTCACCAGGATCTTCTTGATGCCGACGGGGCAGTGGGGATTAGGACGATGACGGAGACTCCGTGACGACCTGGTGTCTCTGCTCAGTGACATAGTCTGGTCAGGAATGCCGTTGCCGTCGCTGCGATAGAAGCGAAGGTGGCCGTGCCTCAAAGAACAGGCTCACGTATGTATACTTACTGCCACTGCGATTCCTAAGCACGTTCTATTCGCCATGTAAGTTCCGTCGAACCGTTAAGTACTATCTAACGCCAAAGCGTATTAGCGTATAAGCAATAAGCTCTAACGGCAGTAGCGTGTCGCAGGGAGCGAGGAACCCTGTATCAGTCCAGATACGTTTATGGAGTGTAATAAAAATTTGAATATTCTTCCAAAAGTCAAACCCTATATTAATATTTGAGACAAATCTTTTTTCATTTTTTATACAAAAACAAAAAATGACCTCGCGGCTTTATCCAAGGGATATCTCAGGGGCGTTCAAATCACGGCTATTTGGAATTTCAAGGTGGGCTTGGTATCTTTTCTTTTATTATTTTACGTTTACATCTCAATCCCATCCAACAGATTGGTCCGTGTCATCGAAGCGGCCTGCCGCTTTGCCCTCGATACCAAATCCAAGGATATCAAGCGCAAAAGACGATAGTACACAAAAATGGGACGTCGTTCCAAATTCGTAAATCCGCCTTCCCGACACTCCTACCAACTAACGTGGCACCATCATCCTCTCACTTCGCTCGCGTCTATAAGCTCCCAAAATAAGGCTCGTGAGAATCAGGGAATTCCACTCCCACGCTCTACCCGCCTGTTCTAAACGTGGCTACCGGCCAAAATGTCGAATCGCCACTGGCTCTTTCTCTCGAAATACTTTGCCCGCTTAACGCTTATATATATATATATATATATATATATATATATATATATATATATAAATGTGCAACCGAAGCTGCACTTTGCTTCACGTCCTCCTTACGACGATTGAGGCTTCTCTCAACCCTCTCGGCACTTTGCTCTATGCACTTTTATTCTTCCGCCTTGACTTCGCTCACGTTCCTCCGTCATTATTCCCCGTCATTAGCGTATCTTCGTCAGCGTCTTCTCTAGGGACATTTTTTTTTATAGTAATTATTCACCCAACGCGAAACTACTCTTCTGGTTAAAAACCTACATCTCACGTAGAAATGAATCAGACTTTCGATTCCTTTCGGACTAATCACAATCGCGAGAAATATCTCAATGGCTCTGACACCTTGAATTGCTTCTCGATGACGTGTCACGGTATGACTCGTGAAATTTGAGGAAAACAAATTTTACATTTTTTTTTTTTCAGGGACGACCCTTTTCGAACTCTCATGGTTGACGGCTCCTCCATCAGGATCAAAAGTTATCGGATACCACCCATCATAATAAATCGGATCGTTACCATTAGATCCGGTAGCGAGGAAAAGGATGGATCTGTAACACGGGATCCTACGATCCTCCTAGCAACGGATCCCCAGCATCAGACCACTGTTTAATCGTATATCTATATACACTAGTATCTGTATTTATATTGGGTCTGTCCATATAGGCATACCTATAGCTATAATTCTATATAGTATATTTATATATCGATTTGTCTTACAGTACGGATACCCATAGGACTTTAAGAGTATACTCCCTGGAAAAGACGAGCTTCCAAGAAAGCATCGCGCTCCTGGTACCGGCAGCTGTCTGATCCAACCTTTTGAAATCCAGGTTCCCCCCTCCGGCTCCACCCGCCGCCCCTCACTCTCACTAGGTTCGTACCACATTACCTTATACCTTCTACCTACACGTTTCTCGACTCACTTATACCTTCTCTAACCCCCTGGACCTTCTCTTTCACGAAACCTTCAGAATGCCGCCGACGCAACCGCCTCGCGCCACTTCACGACGCCGTTCAATTCTACTGTGGACTCAGGACAAAGGACCTCAGGGACGCCTAATTGAAGGTTTATTCCCGAAACTGCGCACAATGATAGACAACCCCCTAGCTCGATACGAGTGTCCTTTTGAATTAACCCTTTTTCATTTTTCAGTATTTTCCTTCGTACACCTCTACACCCATGAATCTGTTTCCAGATCGACGTTCCCCCTCTAAGGCACCTTACGAACATCCCGAAGGCTTCTGTAGGCTAGGACAATCGATATTAATGAAATGGCAATTTGCGTCAGGCTACTGGATTTTGGATAAGGGATGATAACGTGGATACTAAGGGACGAATACATTGTTGAAACCTATCGGATCGTTTACGAAGGATATTGGTCCTTATAATTAGAATGGTGAATGAAATTCGCTCGAATACGGGATAGGATTTTTCTCTGCCTTTTTGAGATTTACGTTAAAACCTTGTGAAAGGGATTTGACCAAAGGTTTTTTTATCTTTTATTTCCATTTTGAACTTCATAACAAAACCAAAAGTCTCTGTATCTCTCTTTGGGGGGGAGGAGGGGAAGGAAAGGTCAATTTCTGGATATCTGTTATCTTGGGCGTACCTTTCATTTTATTTTTATCCTTTTACTTCGTATCTTTCGCCAGGGCTTAATTCACTCTGGAGTTAAATTTATTTTATCGAATTTGAAAGCTTTTACGTATAAAACGAGGTTTAACGCTATTTGGTGATTACTGGTAGAGAGTAAAAGGGAATTAGTCTACCGGCTTTACTCGGTCTGAAGTCACGGAGTCTGGCTGACTGCATACTTCATATACTGTACGTTGAGGAAGAAAATCTTTCATGATTCATCGACTCGTTACTCTTGCATTATGTCATTGTATACGTATATCGTACCATTCTGTACGTTGGTCTTCGCTATGACGCAAGACTAATATATAACTTGCATTCATTATTACCGGTGAAAATCGGTTTGACGGGGAAAAAAAATTGTTGGTTACTTTTCTTTCATTCTTCGTCCATTAGCTATATAAGTGCAGATAAGGCTGACGCAAATAAAAAAAAGGGCAATAACGTTTGCGACTGAAAAAAAGGAACGAAACGAATAAGGAAAGGAAAGCAAAGACTATTCAAAACCGGTGATCACTCGCCGAACTGTGAGTCATTGTTGACGCGGAGTTTCCTTCTCGAAAGAAAGGACGTACAGGTTGTCTTGGTAGTGACGTCAGTAGTGGGATATTGCTCATCGCCCGGGAGTTCAACACCGGTAGGACGTACCTGGAAATGAGAGATCGCGAACGAGAAGCGGTCCACGAGGATTATTAAATTCCCACGTGGAAATAAAACATCGGCTTTATATACGTGGTTATATTTATAGGTTAGGTTATGTACGGTAAAACGTAAAAATTGTATTTACTGGAAAATAAAGTACAAGGCCTTTGATCCTACTTTGATTATAGGCCTTTCAGAGGTTCTACGAATTCCTTCATGGACGCAGAAACGTTCTGTTGCTTCCTTGAAGACGATTCCGTGGTGGAGAATGAAGTTGCCATACATCCAGACTTCATCGATCCTGTGAGACTTCCTGGAGATGTAATTATTGGTTACACGTATTGCTAATTATATTCGTTATCAATTATATACGCATAGATATTTATAGGTTAGGATATCTATTACGTATGCACAACGCGGGATATTCAAATGTGATGGAAAAAAAAATTTGTTTGTCACAAAACAGTTATTATTTACACAAATTTCTTAGGGATATCTGTATGTATTTACCTTGGACGAACGAAACGACGGATTCCTGGCAAGCTGACAGATGTGTTACTATCTACATACGTGTATGTGTATTGGTACAATCGCATGTATGCCTCATGAGGACGTGCCTGAATTGTACGTTCGTTTCATCGGCTTCCGCGAAATCGTAAACGTAGGAGTTGACACGGTTACTGCAGTGGGCAAAGGAAAATAGAAGCGGATGTGGGTCGTTCATACTGTAACCAAGGTACAGCATCACTGAAAGATGTTGAAATATAAAAAAAATTGTCTTTTTTCTTTTCTTTCTCAAATTGTCGTCGCTGTTGGAAAATCGCGCCTCTAGCGGATTCTTTTCGTACGTGCGCGCATGCGCGTTGGTAACTACGCGCACGAACTGACACGCTACCGCGCTGTCGTATGAATAAGAGTGACAGAACGAAGAATACAAGGAATTCCTAAGGAGACGCGCATGGAATTTCACTGGAGCCGTGTTAAGCCAAGAAGTTGATGTACTCGAGACGAGGTGTCCTTAGGAATTGTCAGGTATAAGTGTGAAAAATAAAAAAAGCGTGAAAGATCTGTGTCTAGATAGAAAGCTATACCAGTAGATTCTATCTGTCTGCTCTCGTAACTCTAAGGGAATGTCGGGTTTTTGTTTTCACATGAAAATTTCTGGCGCCTTTCCAATTCGCAATGCCACGCATGCACTGACTCGTACCTTGCTTCGTATATCTATTTAAAACCCAGTCCCAACTTGACGATTAATCATTAAACTCTTTGCTAGAAACTCAACTCGTCCTCAGCATACCAACTGTCACTTTTAAATGTTAGTGATTTTACCAGAGAAAAAGAACTTGAAAACTTCCTTTCGTCGCCACGATTGTCGCTGCGATCGCTTCAATATATATTCAAATCTATAGGAACTATACATTCTATGGATTATCCGGCTCTCAATCGCATACCTTCGTCTTGTACTGTAATTAGTCTTAGTAATATACACTTCACAGTTAGAATCTGTAGCTATAGGTATCACTGTCGCGTGTTTACCGGTTTCGTATATCTTGAACGAGATTTTCTGTCCACGCTGGATAACGGAACATGCCTAATCGTGCATGAAACTGCGTAAGATTCTGCACGCTGGACGGCCCATTATCTTTTCCTGGACTCGATCGGACCAAGGAAATGTTTATTCTCGAACCAACGAGAAAGTAACGATGTGACCAATCATTGCAATTTGCATAACTACAGGGTAAACATTCTTTCTCTTGTAACAATCAAATAACACGTAACATAATATACAGTGCGTATAAAGCTTCGAAAGCAACGATTTTACACTTAACCGGTATATACCGATTATTTCAAGTAATTCCTTCTCGTCTTCGATACAGACATACATAAACACAGACAATTACTTACCGGATTTTCTGGCAAAGATCCTGTACCAGAGATGTACACCGAGAGATGCGAATCGACGAATGTTAATTCAAAATGGTGGGGATTGGTGCGTTAAAAAAAAAGTCCCAGAAGACATCACGATTCTGTTGACTATAGGCGAGTCTCTTGTGAAAGTGACTTATTTATCTCCAGGCAATATATCCAGTCAGGATACAACTATGCCTGGCACGTACGCCAAAGTCGTCCATGTATCCCATAACTGTGAGTATGTTGGTCAGAAGTCTAATTGAAAACGATCGCGCTATCCTCGGTGAGATTTCGCGACTCGTGAAATCCTGCTGACCAAGGACGTCGTGCAAATCCGTGTAAAAAAAAGAAAAAAAAAGTAAAACGGATGACGTCGTAGTACGTATATAGATACGGAATTATTAATGGATGACTGTGAGGAATCATCAGTTTTTTGAACCGGTTCACAGTCGATATCCCAATGAATCATGAACCGATCGTTAAAGAAAAACCTGAGAGTATATAATTCGCGTATTTGCCATATAAATGGCAGCCGAGATTGTATAATGATTTTTTCAGGCATGTAGAAACGTAAGATAGGCGGCGTAGCCAATCAGGAATTTAAAAGTTGAATTATCTATGAACAACATGGTGTAAGTTGGGATTTCTCTCTCTCGTTTTTCATCTCATTTATTTTTCCTCGCCACGCCGAGAAACAGCCTTGGATACATTCTAGACAAGGTTACTATCTGTGCCGGTCTCATATGCCTGTACTCTATGTGATTGCCGTGTACGTATACGGCTCCGTGCAAAGACCTGTTCCCGTTCTGGTTGCGCCTTGAGGCACCCGATCAGGCATCCGGTAGTTTAGACTTTTTAGAAACTCCTACAGGACCCTATGACAATTCCAGTCAAAAACTCCTTTTCATATCTGTCTTTGGCACTCGTTGTGTTTTTGGAGGAGGTACATGACAGCTCTTGGATCATCGATAGAATCAATAGTAGCGTTATACGATTTATAACGCTCCATAGGAAGATCAGCGCCCTCGAGAAGGCAATACAGCCAGAGGCGGTGAGAGTGTAATTCGCCAGTGGAATTTCATCCGATAGGGATCGAATCTGCGAAATTATAATTTTCCATTTCTTAGATTTTCATTTACAATTTTTCTTTCTTACAGTACTTGCTCCAACCAGCCATTCGATAGCAGTGGTCCTGGGCATGAGGTATGAGCTAAAAGGATCGACATGAAGAGCAAAAAGCAAAGTGACTCGCGTCGTATGAAACCTATATAAAATATTAAGGTCGTTGGTACAGCGATGGATTTTTATATTACATACGTACACCTATACATATGCCAGTACGTAGAAGTGAATATAGATATAGAAAACAAGAAGATGGATATAAGGGATCGATAGGTAAAGGTGTAGAGAAAGCGAGAGACATAGAGTTAAATAGCGAGAGAGTAAGAAGAGTGATAAAGATGAAACTAGAGAAAGAGAGAGAAATCTGTGGATCCCCAGAAAAACGACAGCGCAGTTCAGCACGAGACGGCGCAGAGGAGCACACAGCCTGGTAAAGCGTTGAGTCCGTAATAAGAGCTGGCAGAAAGTTAACTGAAACATGAAGCGAGGCAGAGAGGACCGAGAGGACCGAGAAGCCGAGGCTTCCAGGAACAGCGTGTTCCCTCCGAGAACTCCACACTCGACCCAAGATCCTTCTCTGTTGCTTTTATTTTTCTCTAATTCTTGTCCCTCTTCTTTTCCTTCGTATCTTCTTCTTCTTCGTTTCTCATCATTTTTTTACTTTCTCTTTCGCGGCTGGACCCGCACCACGAATTATCTCTCTGAACTATACAATTTTTTCTCTCTATCTCTCGTACTTGTAATAAAATCAGAAACATTCCTCTGACACGGTCCATCGTTTTCAGCTTCCAGGGAGCCGGTACGACTCCGGTACCAGACACTCCCTCTGAAGACTTCCGTTACCACGGTCACGCCGGCACTCTCGTTTTTCGGCACGTTCCAACCCTTTCTTGCCGCTACCTCTGATCTCCTCGACGACGTAACTCCTGGAACTCGTGCGTTTAACATTTCGTTAAGTGGTACCAACTGGTCAGTGGCCAATCGCATTGACTTCAATGGTCGAGGATACAGGCAGATACCGAAAATCAGAGGCGTTGTAGGTGCAAGGCACGTGGCGTGTAGGTATGAAAAAAAAAAAAAAAAAAAAAAA